AAAAAACTAAATATTAGGTATATTTTAATAAAATAAAAGTTTAAATATTAAAACTGATCAAAATTAATAGTTTAGATATTAAATACATAATTTACTCTTAAAAATATTGTCTTTCGTGAATAAATTTCGTCCTAATGGTCTCTATTTAATTTTATAAAAAGTTTGATATTGAAGAAGTCTTCTTATTGTAATTTTCTTGGTTGGATTATTGATTTGTTGTTAGTATATATATATTGAAACTGTGTGGTTAAACAAGGACAACGGGAACTGTCACAAGATAAATAAAAAGAATTTGTGTAGCTTAAAGTTGTACGTTTAACTTTGAAGCACGTTGGGAGGGGCAGTTATACTTGCATCATCACAAAGTAAAGGTATGTTGAACATACAAATTACATAAATAATCTTTCGATTATAGGATAATAATTTATTGAGTCACTTGAATATTAAAAGTTACAAAATAATCCTTTGACGGTAGGGAATTGCTTTGTTGAGTCCTTTGACTATTCATTATGTTCCAAAAGTGTCATTTTCTGTTAAAAACTTAACGATCGTTTGAGTTGGACGTTAACTTGTTGACTGGGGTATGATACTCATTTAAGATTATGATATCATATTTTATCATATCTCGGTCAGTAGGTCAACGTACAACTCAGATTGTCGTCAAAATTTTAATGGAAAAGGACGGGTTTGGAACTCAATTAATAATCGGGTGACCATTTTGTAATTTTTAATAGTCGGGTGATCATTTTGTAACTTTTAATAGTCGATGGGCTCAACGAAGCAACGTCCTATAGTTTGAGGACCATTTTGTGACTTTTAATAGTCAAAAAACCTAATAAAATATTATCTTATAGTCAATGGACTATTTATGTACTTTATACCCAATCAATTAAAACCTATTACCATTAGTTGACTATGTCAAAAGCTATTTATTTTAAGGAATTGTCAAGATAAATCTAAGATGATCTCATGTATACTGAAAATACATGTTTTAAAAATATAAAACTCTAAGTCTTAACTTTTAATTTTTAATTTTTAAGTAAAGAGTGCTGATAGAAGTGGTTAATATTCAGAAATTTAAGCTTGTAAGGTCAAGTTCGAATCTTACCATTGTCACTCTTGGTGGACAATCTGTAAATTCTTATATAAATTCGTATTGGATCTTAGGTATACCAGACCCTGGACTGGAGAGCCACCCATGACCTAAACTTTAGCTAGTCATAACTTATAATTTTTAAATTCTAAACCCATAGACTCTAAATCTTAAATAAAACATACATAAGTAAACACTTTTATATAAACTAAAATTTACATTCCTAAACATAAACATTGTCATTTTCTTTTTAACCTAAACATTGTCATTTTCTTTTTTAAACGAAACCTGAAAGAGTAGCATAAATAAAGGTTGTTTGCTTTCTTGTCCCTTTGAACTTGTCATTCGCTTGATCATAGAACTCCCCACCAAAAGCTAAAACGTGTACTTTGCACTAATAAAGCTCACTTGCTTTTTGATGTGCAACTTTATCCAAAAAACAATAAGGGTTAACTATAGTATTAGTCACTATATTTTTTAGCTGTGTATTGATTTATCATTAAACTTTAAAATATTTCAACTTAAGCAATTTTAGTTTGTGTTAAGTTAGATGTTACTTTAATTATAACTCAGCATCGCAGCTGATATAGTATGCCGTTTATACTATACTTATTTGATTATTTACGAATTTATTATATTTAAAATGTATAATAAAAGTCTTAAAAAAGTGTTTTCACGATTTAAAAGTCTTGATGATTTATCTTATTTACGACTCGCAACCATTTAACATTAAACGCTCACACTTTTGATATTTTTTATGTTTAAATCCGAAACTTTAAGAAATAACAATTTTTTTACCACTGAGATCGTTTTGTTCTTGTTGCATTATCTTATTTTGCTCTCTCTACTGTATCTTTCCAGCGTATTATATGCAATTATGAACATGCAAAGTCCCCCCCCCCTTCCGCTACTGAACAAAAAGCGAGGAAATTGTCGAATATAGGGCTTAGGGGCGGCGGCCATGGCGTGATTGGAAATGATCGGATTCAGTGACAGAGAATAAATAACATAGGTTGACGAAATGGGGAAATTTTGCTTTTCTCACATGGAGAAATAATGAATATACTATTCGTTGGAGAACCTTACCTGGATTGCACTTCAACATGTTACAACTTACAAACATCCATTTAAAACCTAAACTCGAAATTGTCCAATTTTTGAGACGGAAACGAACACAAATTATCAATAAAAATAATAAAAAATTTAAATTATATAAGAATTTAAAATTTTTAAGAGGCAACCACTCTATAAACCCCTCCTAATCCATCCCTACTTACATCCGATGCTTATAATATGTCAACTACAATGCCCCCTCCTACATCAAAATGTCATTGGCCAAGCACAAGGTGGCATTGTCATCTTCATCGACCTTATATGGGTTAGGGCATACTTTAAGCTGCATCTACTATGCCACTTATACTCTGTGACTAAACCCTATAAGGCCCACTTTGTCAGCGTCTAAAGCAAATTAAATGGACATTGAAAAGATCAAGATTTGGAATGTTTGCAGGGCCAGTCACGTTTGGTCTGTGTTTCTACATTCGGTGCTTATTTGAGGACTAAAACGACCATTTCAATTTCCATTGGGTAGCCTAAAGTTCATTGTTACTCACTCACTTTGAGAAGAAAACTTGCTTACATAAATAATTTCGTTAAATTTTTTTATTAGATGTAGGATTAGGATAGCAAAGAGTCGGGTCAGATTAAATTTTTGACTAATTCAATTTAATTCAAGAAACAGATACACTCTATTTGAATCTAAATCGACTCAAAATTAAATAAATATCACGAATTTAAAGAGGTGTCATCTAATATAGTTTTAAGGCAAAAACTCATTAATTGAAGGAGAATGGTGTTCGTGGTCCGAGGGTACAATCGAAGCCCGCATTAGCCACTAGAAACAAGGGTGGGGACAAATTGCGGCTCATTGTTACAGCCTTTTGAAACATGTTTGATATCGGAAGCTCGGAGGTTGTACATGTGGGGACTGTTGGAAGCCAATCAGTTTGGTTTTCTTTTGCTACTGTAATTAACATGTATAAAAAGGATTGATGGGGTAAATGAAAGCAACAAGAGAAGTTGGAGTTTTGTGGCGGGGAAAGGAGGAAATGAAGGCAGACATGGCCGAGGGGTGGAGGTGGAAGTGGCGGAGGAAAAGGCAAAAGAAAGGGCAACGGCGGCGGTGGGTGTTGGACCAAGAAAATCAAATAGAGGATTGTGACATGGAATCAATTCACAACTATGGGATTTGATTTTCCACTAACAGTAGATACTCTATATGACTCAATCAAGTCAAGTATTTCCCACCTTTATTTGCAACTTAAATATCCTTTCCTATACCGAATCAAATAAGGGTAAAGTATACCGATGATTTTCGACTATAGGGGATTACTTTATTAAATCTTCCGATTATTAAATGTTATAAATGGTCTTGAAACTATAAAATATTGATTTTTTAAGTTCTTTTATTATTCAAAGTTATAAAATGATCACTCAGCTATTTATTATGTTTCAAACTCGTCATTTTCATTTAAAATATTGATAGTTGTCTAAGTTAAACATTAATATGATGATTAAGGTATGATAATAGCTTCAGATTCTTGGATCATATTTTATCATATCACAGTCAGTATGTTAACATTCAGCTCATAATATTGTTAGTTTTTTAACGAAAAATGACGAGTTTGGAATATAATGAATAGTTGGGTGGATGAACCTTTTGTAGTTTTTAATAATTAAAGGACTCAACAAAACAACAATCTATAATCGAAAGACTGTTTTATAATTTTCAATAGTCAAGATATTTAATAAAATAAAATATTATAATCAAGATATCATTTGTATACCTTACCCTCAATTTGCAACCTTAATACAACACGACCATTATACTATGTAATCTACATGTGGGGTTGTGGATCAACACAGGTAAAACTGTGGCCTAAGTGCTAAACAAGTGTCCAAAAATCAAAGGCAGGGGATATTTATTTTATCATCTTCACCACGGCACCGGATGATGGAAACTGTTGCAGATAAAACTAGATGTGATTAATGGGGTCCCAGCCTGTTTCAGATTTTATTTGATTTCCGAGGGAGGGAACAAAAACAAAAGACCGAACAGGGCAGATTATCGGTAACTTCAACCGGTTTTCTTACTACTTTGTCCAAATGTTCAATTTACTAAAGAATCGTCCAAAACCAACTTCAAAAAGTCCATATCCGTCCAACAAATTAAAACACCAAGCACGAAACTGCTTCGGGTACAACCACTCAAATACCTAAAACTAATCAGAATTTGAACTATTTTAGCTTTTTTCACTTCAAAGAACATATATATTATATGAAGCAATATAGCAAAGCACATAAGCCAAGTGCTCTGTCCCTAAGCCAAATGCAGTTTCCACCCATTTTTTTGAAAAATGTTGAATAATTTCAATGGGAAAACTTGGAAAATTAAGAGGGTAACCCACAAAATTCAAATCACTCAACTATGACCTTATTCTTGTTATACTCATTCAACTTCAAAATTTTAAAATTTTATCATTGAACTTTCAAATTTTTTCGCTTTTATCACCCTGCACTCAAATATTCAACACTCAACAGGGTTATGATTAGGCATCTTTCTTTAAAAAAATCATGAAAAGATCCTAAACTTTTCTTTTTTTTCTTTGTCAAAAGCCCTTGAAACTTTTTTTCCCCCTGATTTACTTTATTTTCTCGAGGTTAAAGCATCTTCTTTTTTCAAATTCTAATGGTGAAAAGGAGGAGAATGAGAAGACAAGCTTTATATTTTGATCCAACAAACCGACCAAAAACATTACAATTTTAAAATCCAATGATCAAATTAAAACTTTCTAAAGTTTAGTAACCAAATCAATGAAAGTTAAGTGATATGATTTATAGTTGATCCAAATTAAAAAGAAAAATTACTTTTGGGGGAAAAGAATGGAAGAATTATATTAAAAGAAGGGTACAATTCAAAATTTAAAATCCTACCTAAAATCTAAATGAGTTACGTCCCTACAATACTAGTGCAATTGATTTACAGCTCGAACTTAAACTAACTCTAGCACTCTACTTTAATGTTAACCAAAACTGGGAACGGAAGTCAGGGCTAAGCCGGGTTCGGCCGGACCTGAACCTTCATTCTGGCGTCGCATCTCCAACACTTTCCGATGATGGTTCGAGTGTAACTCGCTCGAGAACGTGGGGCTACAAGCCGGTCTATACTCGGGTAAAAGCCGACCCGACTTGAACCTGACACCGCAAGCGTTACACAAAGTCTTTGCTCCCATTGGACCAGCTCTCCATTGTGGCGTCTTTGTGACTCCGCAATGACTGCACCTACGCGTTGGCTGAGTCACATTCCCGACGTTTGACTCGGTCGCCGGTCTCTTCTTACGCTTTTTCTCCACCGAGAGCGACTCAGACGGCTCGAAGGCTGAACCGGGGACGCTGCTTGAGTAAACGATCCAAGGGCTTGAAGCTGAAAGGCTGGAGGAGGAAGATGACGATGTGGAACTTGAACAGGATTCTGTAAGAGAAGGGGAAGCGGCAAGGGACCAAACACCGCCGGTTCGACTGCGCTTGCTCCTGGCTTTGCCCGGAACAAGAGTTTTGAAACACGTTGTAACTGGGGTTTCCGGTTCGGGCAATTCGTTGTCCGGCAACTTTGGTTTTTCCGTTAACGTTCCGGTGGGATACGCCGCCGCAGAGTGTTCCGAGAAGGAATCCTCAACGAAATGAGACAGCCATTCAAGGCTTGCCACGTCATCCGCCTGTAAAAATGTCACCTTTTTCACCATTACCCCGAACTAAAAACAGCAAAAAACTTGCATAACAAAAAAAAGGGTTATATTTTTCAAAGTACCGGAACGGCGAGCTCGTCGGTGGATAAAGAAGTGTAATCAAAATTGGTAGTTTCGTCGGAAAAATGTTGCTCTTGGCTTAGCTTTTGTCGCTTATGCGAAGAAGAAGAAGAAGAAACTGGTACTTCTTTTCCTTCTTCTTCAGGTTCGTGATGTTGTTCGAGGAACCCGTCTTCGTTACTGAAGTCAAAAAGGTCGTCGACAGAGAAATCATCACAAGAAACTCCATTTCCTCCATTATTTACGACCAAAATATCATCCAAAAACGCTTGGGGACTTGATTTCATACCCATCTCCTTTCTAAAACTGCTCTTCAAAGCTGCTTCAACGCATTCCATTTCCTAAAACAAGCACGTTAAGGAAAAAACTCAAAAATCTAAAAACAACCCAGAAAAAGAAGAAGCAAAAGCTAAAAGCTTTTCAGTACCTGAAGAGAGGATGATAACAGCAAAGGGGAGGTTGAAGTAAGCGGAGCAAATTGGAAGATAAACGGGTGGTGGTGAGTTTGGTAAAGCGTTGAGCGACGACGACAGAAAGCATCCATTGTTTGTTTATCTCTTCGTTTTTGTTTTTGTTTTACTTTTTCTTTCTTTTCTAGGATACAATCCCTGTATTTAATTTATTTTTACCTTTATGCGTTGCAAATCTATATATTTATAACAGTACAACTCTCATAAATTACTGAAAAACAAAAAGCTAACTGAATTTACGAACACTACCCTCTGGTTTATGTCGTGAAGACCTAGGAAAAAGAGTAACCTTTCTTCTGTTAATTTCTTTTTTCTTTTTTCTTTTACTTTTCCATTCTCTTATTTGTTAAGGACATCTCTTTTGACAAATATTACGTTTGAATTCCGCCACCGCGTTGATTGCTATCCGCCGCTCATATTGGTTGTTCTCCACCACTTCCTCCTTTTTATTTTTATTTTGAATTCGGGTAATTTACATCTATCATCATTAAACTTTATTTTTTAAATACGTTTGATTTCCTCATTGATTTAATACATTTCATTTTTTTATTATTCTGTTGTTAAACAGTTAACGACGTTAAAATAACATCATTTTAATAAAACAAAATTTTCACCAAAACGATATCGTTTTGCATCTATGTAATCAATGGCATAACATAGTTAGGTCAAGTGGGGCCATGAACTCCCAAAAAATTGAAAAATTTAGTTTTAATCCCTTAAATTTTTTAAAAATTTAATTTGCCCCACTAAATTTTTTTAATGTTCTTGATTAAATCCCTCCAATAATTTTTAAAAATTCTCATTAATTCTCTCAAATTTTAAAAAAATTTAGTTAGATCTCATTTTTTTGAAAAAAATATAATCTGAACTATTCAAAATTTTAATTTAAACCTCTAAATTTTTAAAGTTTTATGTTGACATCCCCAAATTCTATTACCAAGTTCCGCTATTGTATATAAAAGTCAATTTATAATGTTGTTAGTGAGAAAATAAAAAAGTGACAAAAAATCAAATATATTAAGTTCAGTGATAAAATTGAACGGAATTAAAGTACAATGAGTAAATATGAGATATAATAAAATTCAATAATAATTGATGTAATTTACCCTTTGAATTTTCGTTATGAAATTACTCCCCATTTTTTTAAAATTATTACTCCTGATTTATATCATATAAATTTGTTGAGATATTGTTTTTTAAATATTCTAATTTAATGTTTTATTTAATATTATATATTTTTGTTTAATTAAATACTTAAACGTAACTTTAAATTTCAATGTAATAGTTAGGATATATTACCAATAGTAGATTTTTTGGGATATATTACCGGGAATGTCATTATCTCATTCCCTTAGGTATTGTAACATTACCAACGTTTTGGACTAAAATGCCCTTAAATTTTTATTTTTTTTCAAAAATATCCTTCTTCTGTCATTGAATAATAAAAATTCTACAAAAGTTAAATAACAAATTTATCCTTAAATTATTTTAGATTTATAAAAAAAATCTATAAATAAAATTTTATATGAAGTTCAGGGGTTAAAAAAAATTTACCCTTTCATTAAACTTTTTTTATATTTTTAATTTTGTAAAAAAATTTATATATATATTATGAATTTAATTTTTAAAGAAAATATATAAATATTTTATAATTTGTAATATTATACAAATATATAATAAGGACAATTTGGTCAAATATACATTCTAATAATATTTTATTCCTTTAACCAAACACGGTAATCTTACCTTCCTGCTAAACCAACCAAACACAAAATATAACATTCCCAGTAATCTTATTTCTTGGTAATCTTTTATTCTCACTTGTAATCTTACATTCCGTGAACCAAACGCACCCTTAAAATTTTTTGGGGGTATTATTGCCATATTGTTTGGCGTGTTTGATATCATTGTATTAGTTTACTTGGTTGGCTTGCTGTACGTTTAAATGAAGGACACCTAAAACAAATAATGAAGTTCGTAGAAGGCTTTACTTTGCTTGAATGTTGATTTTCATGCTACGTTATGTCGTCTTTTTACCAAAGTGTTTCTTTCAGATTCAAGCCATTTTCTGTCGGTAGTTCCATTGCACCGCACACGAATATTTTAATGTTGTTTAAATATTTTCGATAGAACACTATTTAAAATGTTAATCTCGTTATCTAAAATGTAACTTTCTCTATAATATTTTCGGTTGTAATCGAAAACCTTAAAAAGATTAATATTTTAAGTAACGTTCCACCGTAAATATTAAAACAAAATTAACATTTCGATAACATCTTTCCTTAAACATCCTCATTTTCTCTACCTTTAATCGCACCATATATCCAAAACAATAATGTTTTCAAGATAACTTATTTCGTTTATTATCTAAACTATCAATTTTTGTCTGTTTTAATACTTAAATTTTTTTAAATTATACCTAAAATTTAGTTTTTGTTTTATTTTAGTAACATTGTTCAAAATTCAACGTTAAGTTTAAAAAAAACGAAAGTTTAGGTGTTAAAACGGATAAAAACTGATAGTTTAGGTACTATACGAGTTAAGTTTTTAACGGTGGATACTAAAATAAAACAAAAACTAAATGTTAGGTATGATTTTTAAAAAAAATAAAAATTTAGGTATTAAAATAGACTAAAAATAATAATTTATGTATTAAATACGTAGTTTAGTCATGTTTTTATTTGGTTGAGACTTTCAATTGGAACGTGGAGGAAAAATGTTGAAATTTTCGTGATAAAAAAAATTATTGTTATTATTAAGGATTTAATTTTGAGCATCATATATGTTAGAGGTGTGAGCGTTCAATGTCGAAAGGTTGAGAGTTATTACCCCAAATTAATCTAAAAAATTTCCTCTATAGTAGACCAAATTTATCATTATTATCCTATTGTATTTTCGCATCTATTTAGTCTTCAAAGTTGTTTAATTGCATTATTTTATATCCTTCCTTAACTTAAAAGCCTAAATTATAAACCCTAGGCTATAGTTTAAGATTTAGGTTTACGGTTTATAGGTTATGGAACTTGAATTAGGGTTTAGGGGTTTAAGTTAAATATAAGGTATACAATGATGCAATTGAACAACTTCGAAGGCTGAATTGATGCGAAAATACGATAGATATGAAAGTGATAAATTTAATCTATTATTAGTATCTTAATTTTTAATATGCATAAATAAATCATGAATGATTGAGATTATATATCATGATAATCACGTTAAGCCCTCTGATCATGGCTTGTCTCCCAACATTAAGACAAGATGAATTAATGATAAATATTGTATTCATCCATCATGATATTCGAATTGAGTGAAAGAAAGATACGAGCATGTGTTCGATATACGATGTTAATTTAATTTACTTGTATGACTCTCGAGCGAAAGGTCAAGAGTACCACATACACCCTAAACTCCAGGAATGATCGAACCATAATAAAAACCATGACCAAAATACAGATCGAGGATGCATCAAATGACGGCTTGATATGTTGTAGGTCGCCAATCACCTTTCTGGGCACTCAGTATCCCTTCTTGATCCTTGGAGAAAGTTAAATGAACTTCCCAGTGCAGTGATTTCAGCAAGTTCTCAACTTCGCTAATGGCATCCGATTCGTCTCGAACGATTAATTTCCCGCCCGGTCTGACGATTCTATCGACCTCTGCCAACGCAGGTTGAAGTTTGCACCTACGAACACCGGGAAAATGCAGATCGGTGATCGAAGAAGCGGTCGAGAAAGAAGATTATAAGGGGAAATCATGCTGTGATTAATTCTACCTTGTTTTCAGCTTGGAGAAAAGATGATCAGCGTGCAAGAGATCATACGATCTTGGATACGTGCTGAACGACTCGCACCAATCATGGTATATTCCGAAAAGACCGCGTTCGTAGATTATCGGAAGTGTATCGGGAGAATCAAAGTTCACCACATTCATCACCCATATATTAATGTCCTTCAAGGCTGCTGCAAACCTGCAGGCATCCAAGACGGGTCGATATGATAACTTCAATGCCTCTTTAGTAACACACGAAAAACGAAAGTGAAACGACCATTACCCTCCATAAACAGCTCTCATGTCCATCACATTTCTAACATTGGACCAACTGATTCCCAATCCGCTCATGTACAACTTGCTCACAACTCGAGTCCAGTGTTCGTAGTCCTTCGTAAAGTCTTGCGGAGCCGGTTTCCCGTAAATCCCCATTTGGGATCGGTTCAACCAATAAGGAGCTTTCTGTAGCCGATTAGGCCAGTTCGCGGGCCATCGTGCTCCTCTTTCGACCTGATTTATCGGCACTCGGTGCATACATGCACGCAGGGGTACATGCCTGAAACGAAACAAACAACAATGAATTTATTGCCTTACTTGGTGCATTAACATGAGAGTATGTGAAGAAAACCTACCAGACAGCATTTGCATCGTCTTTTTCATCGCACATTGGTGGATTATTCTCCGGTCGTTTGTCATAGCATTCGTTTGTGGTAGGTTTCTGATAGATGGCAGCAGCGATAGAGTTCAATTTGTCCTTCTTGATAGTCACAAGTTCCCAACAAATGGATTTCGTCAGGGCCAACATGGCTGCAAAACAAGCTTCGCATGATCAGATCTATGACAACCCGAAAACCATATTCGAATGAGATGTCCTGTCTATGTGTTACCCTTCCAAATTTCCACATCCTCCGAAAGTTTCTGGTATACAGGAGTGGCTGACCACACAAAATATCCTCCAGGCCTAAGAACACGGTTCAGTTCTAGCAGAAGCATGCCGTTTTCGATATGCCATGGCACCCTACACCGTGCACAGTGCACTAAATCAAACACATTACAAGGAAACGGTAGCCTCTGAGAACCCATCACAGCTGATATAGCAGGAATCCCCCTTTCGAGTGCGAATTGAACTTGAGCTTCGTGCTCGTCTTTGGGGGCGAATGACATCGTCAAGACATCTCGATCGAAAAGAAACCCTCCGAAGCTTGCAACACCACATCCAACATCTAAGACAACTCTGGATCGTTTACCCCATTTAATATTGGGTATTGCCTGCAACCAACAATAAACTAACATATTCTTCTTTCTCGAAGCATCAGATTTACAGATTCATAACTGAATCGAGTGTCGAACTTTACCTGTTGGAGAAAGTCGATGTAGTGGAGGGCGCCATGGATGAACTGGGTACCACCACCAGGGAAAGTCAAGAATTCACCGCTCACTTTAACCCAATTCTGATGCCCTTTGAACTCAGCCAGTTTCGTATGTGGAACATTATGGTACCATATCTACCAGACAACGATAAACAAGTTACAAAAACCGCCGCCGAAAATCGATAACGATCAGACAGGTTTGATTCAATGTTTTTACCTTGTTTCTGCTCTTAGGCCAGGAGATGGGCTTTTTGTATCCCACCGGAAGTGGGACTAAACACGTCGGGCCCTCCTCAGGGCAATGCCTCTCCCGGTGCTCGAAGTGCCTGGTGGTTTTTAATTTCTTCAAAGCTTTCAGGTTATCCAAACACGGAATGTAATCGGGACCGGTAGTGTGGTTGCATAAGTGCCACTTGTAACCGTAGAAGCTCTCTTTATCGTCCGATTCGTCTCTCCGTCTCTCCTTCTCGTTATCGGACTGAATCTTTTGCGACTTCCATGTCTTCTTCAATTCGGTGGACTCCTTCGGAATCGAATTGTCTAATGAATCTCCCGTGGTTGATTCGTTCTGTTGCTGACTTTCCTGATTCTGGCCTTCATTTTGGATGTCTTTCTCCGCTGTTTCCTGGTTCGTTGATGTCTTCAACAAACTGGGCAACGTATCTGTTTGCATTGTGTTTAGAAGTTCGTTCTGTTTATCCTTCGTTTCGTCGCTAAAACTGGCGTTTGCCCTCTGTTGCTCTTGATTCTGTTGTTGCTTGTTTCCCTTGGGTTCATCTTCCATCTCCGTTACATCATTCTTTAATCTCTCGGGATCATACTCCTTTGGTTTCACGTTCATCGTTGTTGTTTCCTTCATCTTTTTATTGCTTTTGTCGTCTCCTTTCTTCTTCTTTTTCTTCTTCGTCTTGTCGCCTCGACGTTCCTTCGGTTTCTCGTCGACTTGTTGCTTCTCCACGGCTCGAATTTGATCTTGATCGCCCGACGAATCCTTATTGTTGTTGCTGTTGTTGTTGTTTTCCTCTTGATTAACCTTGTTGGTTTCTTCATTACTCGTCTGCTTATTATTATCTTCAACTTCCCTGGGGATAATCTGCTTCGTTTGTTGGTTCTGAGTCAACACACTTTCCTTGGATATCTGAGTTTCACTCTGTTTCTGCTTCTCCCGTTCTTCAGCCGATTCTTTCCCGTGTAAACCACGTTGGGTTTCTTCAACAACCGAGTCTTTCCCTTTATCATCGTCCGACTCGCTGGTTTTATCGTCGTCGGGCTTGACTGCATCGTCAGGAAGTTGGTCGGGGTTATCCTCGAACACCGCTTTATCTTTATCTTCGGTGATTTTGGTGGGTTGCTCATCGTTTGAACCGGAGAATGCGATGTCTCCGTCGGTGTCTGTGACGGTGGCGCGGATGGTGGTGCGAGCGGTGGTCTGTGGGGATGAAACGGAGTTGGGAATGAGCATCCAAACAGCCAAAACGCATAAGGATACGAAAATGACAGTTGTGACGGTTGATGCATATGAAACTGAAGACGAACGCCTGGGGCCACGAGACTTTCCCCCGATCGCCATTGTTCGGAGTGGAAATGAAGTGAAATTTGATAGAAGTGAGATTAAAAAAGACAGCGGAGAAGATGAAAAGCTTTGTTTGTGGAATAGATGTAAGAAGAGAGAAGAAACATTCTAAGTTGGAATTCCTCAAAGATCCGAAAGAGTTGGACAAGGAGAGTTCGTTGGGAAAATTGTGTTCCTCGTTTATGAAATACCCATTAGCATCACGTTTTCTAAATTTCTTATCAACCAAACAAAACCCAAATCAAAATGTCTGTCTCACAATTTCACAAAGCCCACTTATTTTGATTCTAGCCCAAGCAACGGCTAGATTCTAGGGTAAAGTACATAAATGGTCCTCGACTATAGCGTATTATTTTATTAAGTCCCTCAACTATTAAAGTTACAAAATAGTCCTTCAACTATAGAGTGTTGCTTGTTAAGTCATTCGACTATTAAAAGTTATAAAATGATCAATCGACTATTCATTATATTCCAAACTCGTCATTTTCTGTTAAAAAATTGACGTTGTCTAAGCTGGATGTTAACATGATGACCGAGATACGATAGTTGTTTGAGAACATGTGATCAAATTTTAGCATATCAAAGCTAGTAGGTTAACTTCCGCTCAAAATGCCGTTACTTTTTTAACGAAAATGATGAGTTTGGAACATAATGAATAGTCATATCATCATTTTATAACTTTTAATAGTCAAGGGACTCAACAAAATAACACTCTATAGTTGAAGGATAATTTTGTAACTTCTAATAGTTAAAGGACTTAATAAAACAATATTATATAGTCACCGTTTGTGTACTTTACCCTAGGTTCTAATTAAAAGGATTACTAGTCCCTTAACTTGTACATTTTGATCATATTTAATGTTACATTTTGGTTCTATTTTGGTCACAAGTCGTTAAAAAATTAACGATGATATTGATGTGTCACCCCGTAAGGTAATATCACATCATCATTAAAAAAAATCATATAAGCATTTCTGTTTATTTTTTTAACTGTGGGGACCAAAATGGAATTAAAACATAACATTAGGTATGATTGTGAAGAAAAATATAATCGGGTGACCAAAACAAAACCGTAATATTATGTTGATGACTAAATACGTAATTTACCCTAAAATCTATTTCAACAACGTGTCCTCTTTTTAATCAAAAGCTAACAGAAGAAGTATATTCTTGTACTAATTAGATATACTGAACTTTTCAAACCGAATCGAAACAAGATTCAGATTGCAAACTCTAACAACAAATTTGTTTGTCCAGTGATTATTCTCTTGTTGATTTGTGTGTTCTTCGCTGTTCTACACCACAAAGTGTTTGATTGTTCTTATGGTTGTTCTACACCAGGGCCCAAACAAGCTACGGTAATAATCGAGATGTTAAAACAAAATATTGGTACAAATGCAAAGTTCAATGGCAGATGTCTCGATGGTGTTCTTCTAGGTTAAACAACGTGATTGGTTCAACCAAAACCAAGCATTAGCTTAAAACAATGTCATCTAATCAGTTGCAGATGCATCCTCTGGGTGGTAATGTAGCATCTCAATCCACATCATCTCCCTAACATCTTCTCCCGAGTTCCCGTCTATGTTGAGATTGATGGGGACTTGAGCAGGTGGATCACACCTTGGATCATATAGGTCCGACATGTACGGATGTAGGAGCGATTCCGTGACCGAAATTCTCTTAGATGGGTCGAACACAAGCATCCTTTGCAACAAATCTATTGCTAACGGATCGGCTTGTGGGTATAAATGGGAAAGATGGGTGCCCCTAGAATAAGGTAGTGACTTGATGAATCTCCGGGCTTTGGGGTTATCGATAAACCGAAGATCAGCCTCTTGTTGGCTTCCAAGGACATTGATAATTAGCTTAAGCTGGTTGAGGCATTCCGTTCCAGGAAAGACGGGTTTCCGACCAAGAATCTCAGCAAAGATGCATCCTACCGACCAAACATCAATGGAGGTCCCGTAATTGTCACAACAGAGCAGGAGCTCAGGTGCACGGTACCAGCGGGTGACGACATACTCCGTCATGAATTGTTCATTACCTCTGCTGGTCCGGGCCAGCCCGAAATCACATATCTTCAAGTCACAGTTAGCATTGACAAGGAGATTCCCTGGCTTCAAGTCCCGGTGAAGGATATTTGCCGAGTGAAGGTACTTCAGCCCACGTAGTAACTAAAATACGAACTAAAGGTTAGTAACAAGCAGACAATACAAAACACGAAAAAATTAAGCAAAGAAACTTGCTAGAGCTGTTTACGTATCCGAGTTTCTAAATTACAGCAATGCCGAAGAGGTTTACCGTTACTCGTACGATTGTAATTGAGACAAGAAGTTTCCCTACACATTTACAGGATACATATCCTATTCTGCGAGCATTTGATGAAGCAATTAAGTTGTCAACAAGAAAAGCCGAAAGAGGGAATCATGGCATATTTACTTACTTGCAAAGAAAGTAAACCGAACGAGATAGAATGAAGAAGGAAAGAGGGCTAAGAAGAAACAAAGGCCTTTGCCTTAGATTGCATATTCAGAGCACACGAGACGGAAACGACTTTAAATTTTACTTGCAATGTTTTACTCGAGATCATGATCGAGTTTTTTTTGCTAATACGAACTTTTAGGCCTTGCAAAATGGGGAAATCAAACAATAAAATGTTAACAAGTCTAATGATCTATATCCATATACCACATTACTCCAACTCGATTGCTAGTGTCAAAACACGAGTCTTTGTAAAAAAACGAAGAGCCAGGTAGATACATACATGCAGCCAATACTAGAATTACCATCTAGAGTTGGTTAGTATTCGTAAGGCCTAAATTACCATTTTTAACTTTTATCTCAACACAGGCAGATCACAATAAGAAGAGAAGGGTGAGTGAGTTCACAGTACCTGAAAAATGAAATACTTGCAATGATCATTAGAAAGAGGCTGAGAGGACTTGATGATCTGATGCAAATCCGTGTCCATAAGCTCATAAACCAAATAAACATCCTTAAAGCTGGTTCTCTGAGTTGGCATCATGACATCCTTCAAGGCAATCACGTTGTCATGTTGGATGTGTCTGAGAAGTCTCAACTCCCTCAGAGTTCTCAACGCGTCCACAGGATAGTCAAACGCATTGTTGATCTTCTTTATGGCCACTTTCTCATTGGTTTCCCTGTTGATCGCCGAGCAAACTACACCGTATGCTCCTCTCCCTATAGGCTTGATCGGATAGTAATTCGTGTCGATCTCGAAAAGGGTCTGCCACATTGAAAAGTAATGCTTACCTATAGCCTGCACCCTATTCGGTGGCTCTACAGGCATCGCCATTGCTCTGTAAAATCCCCAGAAACAAAGGATCAGCATTAAGAAAGGAAACTTAACCCAAAGAGATAAGGAAAACAAAAACAAAAGGTTTGAGATCAATCTTACATGTTGCTTCTTCTTCTTTGACTTGATCTTTAAAAAAAACTCAACTAGTTGCTACCCTTTTCTTCAATCTACCAGCAAAGTCCAAATTCACCAGCTTTCAAATCATTTCTGTAAAATTCTGGTCCTTCACCATTGCTTCCAAAAAACCCAAATTTTTTGCCCATCCTTTTCTTCAACCTCTAAAACAACTCCAAAAAAAAAAAAATGGGTCTTCGAGCAAAAGGCTTATCCAAAACAGAGAGAAACGGTCTCTACTCTGGTTCAGAATTTTTTATCAGACCAACGAGACAAAAGGGCATGGACGTGAAGCGCACACGGCATTTCCCTTGGGGCAAAAAACGGCATCTACTATTCTACATACTGCTTTGGACCTTGGGGGCTTCACCTTTTAGGAAATATCAATATTCTCTCTCTCCATGTACATAATATAATCTTAAATTATCAGAACAAAGAAGATGAAAAATCGTTTTTTTTCCAAATAATTTGCAGTTTGGCCTAATTAAGCTTTGCCACGCACAAATCTGCAACTTCTCTGTTTCTTTCCACTTTCCCACAAAATTTGGGAAAAAGAGAACTCTTTAAATACTACTAGGAAGTTACTATATTGAGATAATTTCTTTCTAGGCTTATAATTTGGTAAAGTTATTTAACTTTTTCCCAAGGAATGGTTGGATGGATGACCAAATTAATTGTTTGAAACCTATTACATTTGTTAAGAAAGAACAGAAAATATCATTTAAATTGCAGGTATCTGGTTTTTTTTTCCAGTTTTTTTTATACTTTTCTTTAAAATCATATTGATAATGACCATCCAGCTCAGTTGGCAGAGCATAAGGTTCTTAATCTTGAAGTCGTGGGATCAAGTCTCACGGATGACATTTTATAATTCGGAGGTCTCCTACGAAAATTACTCTCAACCTAGTGTTAGAGGCAACCTACTATCTTACCTCCCTTTATCCCATTACATATGGAAACAAGAGACACTCATTTTAAAATCATATTGACATGGCTTTGGTTATTTTATTCCGTTATCATATATTTTGTTTAAATTTTAATATCTCTATTCGGAATCAAAGTATTAAAATTTTTCTCTTTATTTTTTCAACGAACATCTTATCATTTTCTACTATTAATTTCAGTCTTTAATTTTTCACATCTAAGCTAATAACCCTAAAATTATAAAACTAATTTTTTTTACATAATGTAATTGTACCATACTCGATGTAAAATGACAGTCAAAGCCTTTAAAATGAGTTCAAAATTATCTAACACTAAAGCGTAAAGAATTGACCGACTAATAGATTCATCGCTTCTTGATAGAGTTTATTACATTAACCTTATCAGATTAGTTTGCACATGACATGAGATAATGCTGTTTAAATTCTTTTAGTTGTGGAGTTTGGTGGGGGTGGACTAATTGCTAAAAGAAGCAAACATTTTGACATAATTTTTTTCCTGATGATATCGATGTGTTTAGGGATGGATGCATAATTTTATATTGAGAGTGAATCTAAATTTATAAAATTTTAGGGATAAATTTGAATTTATAAAATTTTTGAGAGGATGAAAATATAATTTTAATAAAAAAAAATACACAAAAAACTTAAAATATATGATGATTTTAAATTTTCAATAGATCGACTATCTCTGCTATCTTTCCTAAATTTTTCTCTGGATGTGTTAATGGTTAATATCTAATGTCGGTGTTACCATCAAACTTAGCCAAATGCTCATATGTTTTCTTTTCAAAAGAATATGAGAAATTGTCATGATGTAGTTTAGTTAAATGGAACGTCAAATTTATTTAATAGGTGTGGTTCGTCAGTCATCATTATGGGTTTAACGCATGCATCCCAAAGACATAAGAAATAGCAAAGGCCCAAAGACAAATAAGAAATTCTGATTAGGTGTCCACTCGAGTAAGCCCAAATATCTTACAAATGATCTGTCCAAAAAATTACTCGAGCAAAAAAATATTAGTAGAAGGTATAAGAAGTTTCTCCATTAAAAAAAATTAATGTAATTATCGTATTAATTTTTTAGAAAATAAATTTAATGTGATTTTTTTTATCAATATTTTTTATCATTGAGTGTTGGGGATGACAATTTCATCTTCATCCGATGGTTCCGACCTGATTAGGTCGGATTTTTTTTAAAAAAATATTTGGGCTTGGGTCGATTCGGGTTCGGGTGGAGGGAGGAAAAACTCCGACCCGACGAAAATAATGTTAATTTTTCTTTAAAATTTTATTATTTTTTTAAAATTAAATCCTTAATTTATACCAGGTCAATCGGGTCAGATTTATACTCTAAACACCTGGGTCGGGTCGGGTTGAGAATATATATTTTTCGAATAAGATCGAGTCAGATGTAGGATATAAATTTTTCGGGTCGACTCATGTTCGAGTGGAGGGTGCATATTTTCGGGTTAGATCAGGCCAGATGTAGGATATAAAATTTTCGGGTCGGATCGAGTTCAGGTGGAGGGTGCATATTTTTGGGTTGGGTTGACCAAAAACCTGACCCGTTACCATCCTTACTTCCAATATTAACGTGACAGTTCACAGTACTAACATAACGGTCTACTATATTAATGAGATAGTCCATAATGATTAATAACATTTAAAAAATACATATATAAATTAATTACTTAGTTTTCAAATAAACCATCTTAAAATGGCATGAAAATTAGTAGAAATAGAAGGCTTACATAAAGCTTATTTTGCTTTTGGTTTTTGTACTTTGAAGTTAAAACGGTAGCGTTTCGATCCAACAGCTATTGTGTGTGAAATAGAACCTTGAAATTCCCTAACTGCTGTACATTCCGTGATTCCCTTTAAAAACTCTCCCCATTCAAACCCCATAATCTGAATCTTACAGAAAGAAGAGAAGGGTTATTTGCATTTCAAGGGAGGCTTTGACACTTGACAACGCAACAACAACAACAAAATTTTATTCCCATATGTAATGGGATAAGGGGAAGGTAGTGTAGTAGGTTGCCCCCAACGCCAGGTTGAGAGCAACTTCCGTGGAAGACCTTCGACAGTCAAAAAATTAAAAATAAAGATAAAATGCAATGCATGTGTAAATAAATAAATAAATAAATAAATACATAGTTGAACAGTCTTCATATGCACTCTTCATATGCGAGTCTCTAATGGGAAGTAATCTCTGCGTAAAAATCTCTGCATATATACAGAAGACGTAAGACCCGACTAAATTTAAAAAGAGGTAACCCGAAGAGAATGATACACAGTAGTCAACGATAGCAAGCTACGAGACGGAATAAAGTCAGATGAGTTAACACATAAACTAAGGCAACACTACTACGCTACCCTAATTCTAAGCCTTCATAAATTCCAATGACAGGAACGTATATAAAGTATAAGTCATGAAAATTACTATAAAGACATTAAAAATAAGACAGAGAATGTTACACCTTATGGTTGTAACCCGTACTACTCGACTACCCTGGTCTTAAGTCTCCATACTTTCTTATCAGAGTTCATGTCCTCGGTAAGGGCTAAATCGTTCAAATCATATCTCAAGCAGTCTTCCCACTTCCGCCTTGGTCGTCCTCTCCTTCTGGCACCGTCGACTGTAATCGACTTTACCCTCCTGACCGCATCCGACGGTTGTCGCCTAAGGACATGTTCAAACCACCGTAGTCTTCCCTCCCTCAATTTTTCGGATACAAGCACCACCCCCAAGGACATCCTAATAGCAGAGTTTGGTATCATGTCCCACATAATCCTACCACATGCCCATCTAAGCATTCTCATTTTTGCGGCCTCCATCCTCCTTACGTGATCCTTCTTGATTGCCCAACATTCTGATCCATACATCAACGCTGGTCTTATTGACATTCTATAAAAATTTCCCTTAAGTTTTAGAAGCACCTTCTTGTCACACAAAACTCCAGTAGAAGCCCTCAACTTTAGCCATCCCGCCTTTATACGGTGCGTAATGTCATCATCTACACCCCCATCTTTATGTATCATAAACCCTAGGTACTTGAAACAATCCTTTGAGGGGAGAACATGTCCTTCTATGCTTACTTCTACATCTTCATCGTTTTGGTTCCCACTAAAGTTTAAACATAAATACTCTGTCTTTTCAATATTGATCCTTAGACCTTTTTCTTCCAAAACACTCTTCCAGATAGTCAGTCTACTTTTTTGTTTCAGCAACTAGGACAATGTCGTCAGCGAAAAGCATACACCATGAAACACCGTCTGGTGTCGCACAAAAGATGTCATCCATAATCAAGGCAAAGATGTAAGGGCTACGAGTCGACCCCTGGTGCAGTTCGATTTCCACCGGGAATACATCGGTGTTGCCAACTGTAGTCCTGACGTAAGTAGTAGATCTATAGTACATATCACAAATCGCCCGAATATAAGCAGTTGGGATCCGTCTCGTTTCCAAAGTCTTATAGATCGTATCGCGTGGAACGCTATCATACGCATTCTCAATGTCAATGAACGCCATGTGAAGATCTCTCTTTTTTCCCTACCTTGACAAAGCATCGCAAATAATTTTCCTAAGTTTTCTTGGAATCCCACTTCTAGGTTTTCTTCTTCACTTCACATTTTTCATGGGATTTTCCCTTAGGGGGTGTTTGGTTCAAGGATTGTGGGATTCCCATAGGATGAGAATCTCACATTCTCATGTTTGGTTGGCCGGGAATCTCATTCCCTATAATGTTTTACCAATAGTAGATTTTTTGGGGTATATTACTGGGAATGTCATTACCTCCCTTCCCTTAGGTATTGTAACATTACCGGCGTTTTGGACTAAAATGCATTTAAATTTTTATTTTTTTCAAAAATATCCTTCTTCTGTCATTGAATAATAAAAATTCTACGAATGTTAAATTACAAACTTATCCTTAAATTGTTTTAGATTTACAAAAAAAATCTATAATTAAAATTTTATATGAAGTTCAGGGGTTAAATTTTTTTTTACCCTTTCATTAAACATTTTTTATATTTTTTATTTTGTAAAAAAAAATTATATAAATATTATGAATTTAATTTTTTAAAGAAAATATATAAATATTTTACAATTTATAATATATACAAATATATAATAAGGACAATTTGGTCAAATATACATTCCAATAATATTTTATTCCTTTAACCAAACACGGTAATCTTACATTCATACTAAACCAACCAAACACAAAATACAACATTCCCAGTAATCTTATTCCCTGATAATCTTTTATTCCCACTGGTAATCTTACATTCCGTGAATCAAATTCACTCTTAGATATTTATCCAAACAAGGGCCGGTTTCTCGGTTCCCCGGAAAAAAAGGGTTTCACTTTCCGTTTCTTGATTGTTTGTTTTTTTTGCAGGAGGGTTTTACTGCATTGTTCTTGCAAAGATGAACGATCTAATGACGAAGTCTTTCTTAAGTTACGTGGAACTGAAGAAACAGGCACAGAGGGATTTGGAATCAGAAGTACCCGACGTTGAAAATGGCATCGGAAAAGGGAAACTCAACCCCATTGAAGAAATCAACCTTTCCCAGTTCTTCCAAGAAGTGGCCTCGATCAAGATGACAATGGAGGGGATCTCGAATCTCGTGTTTGATCTACAAACCCTAAATGAAGAAACGAAGTCCATTCACAGCGCCAAGGTCTTCCGAGGGTTACGAGACAGGATCGAAGCCGACACCGTTTCGATTCTTCGAAAAGCGAAGGTTGTAAAGGAAAAGCTCGAATTACTCGACAGATCTAATGCGAGCAACAGGAGACTATCTGATGCGTATAAGGAAGGGACGTATGTGGATCGAACCAGGGTTTCGGTAACAAACGGTTTGAGGGCTAATCTCAAGCAAATGATGAATGATTTTAATGCCTTGAGGGACAAGATTTTATCTGATCATAAAGAAGACCTCAGAAGAAGATACCACGACTGCACGGGAGAGTCGCCGGGAGACGACACGGTTACCCGCGGCGGCGAACACGTTCGGTCGTTGGCGGAGATATTCGAAATGGATTCGAGGAACAAGGAGAGGCATGAGGCCGTGGTGGATATTCAACGGAGTTTGGAGAGGCTGCATATGGTGTTCCTCGACATGGCTGTTCTGGTCGAGGCACAAGGGGGGAAGATGGATGACATTGAAGAAAACGTGGCCAGTGCCGTTGATTTTATCAGTGGAGGAACCGATCAACTTTACCACGCAAATCAAATGAAGAAGAAGAAGACGGCATGCGTTTACTGGGTTTGTGGTGTTCTTGTTCTAATTCTTCTTTTGGTTTGCATAGTTTCCATGTTTGCTTCTTGAGAAGCAGCCTTTTTGGGTGTTTTGATTCTGCCGCTTGACATTAATATCAGAATTGGAGTTTGCTCTTGAGAAATCCATTATTCTCTGTTCTCCCCCCTCCATGCATCAATTTGAGTTTAATTCAAATATAATTTTTATTCATGATAAAATAGATAATAAACTTGATGTAACAGTTGATTAATGACTTTTTCAAAGGTCTCGAATTCTTTTAACTTAACTCGTACTATTTTTCTTTAATTTTCATCAATAAAATAATAATATTTTTAATTAAAAAACTACATTGATAAAATATATATAAATAATTTTAAAAAAAAATTAATCAGAGATGTATAAAGTAATATATTTTCATGAGATTTTAAGGGAGTAAATAATTAAAAATATAAGAGTAAATTATACGTTTAATATCTAAATTATTAATTTTAATACTTAAACTTCTAAATTTTTAAAAGTATATATAACTTTTAGTTTTTATTTCGTTTTAGTACATCACAATTAAAAACTTAACGGATAATTAGTAAGTGACACATTTTTATGGGTCATTTATCACTCAACTATCTTCTCACTCTTATTTTGGTCACTAAAGTTTAATTTTTTTTAATTTAATTACTTAACTTTCAAATTAATCTTAATTTACTTTCAAATTTATTTTTTATTTTTAATTATACATTAATAATAATAAAAAATGTCATGTCACAAAAATTATTAATAAAATAAATTAAAGTGATTAAAATATGAGTAATTTGAAAGTTGAGTAGTTAAATTGAAAATTTTCCAACATTAATACCAAAATAGGAGTGAAAAGATAATTAAGTAATGAATGATGTAATTATCCATAGAAAATGTGGTGCAGTTAGAATTTTAAGGTGAGGCACTAAAATGAATAAAAATTAAATATTAGATATAATTTTAGAAAATCAAAAGTTTAAGTATTAAAATAAATTAAAATTAATATTTTAGATATTTTATAAAAATAATATTTATTATTATTATTAATTTAGAAATATTTTCTAAAAATAACAGTATATATGAGGGGGAGGGGGGGGGAACACTTTGGATCCCATTCAAGTGAAAGAGAGCTCTTGTAGAGTGTTAGTTTCCGCTTCTGATCCAGGGAGAAAGCCGGTGGTGGCCAGGAGGACTACACGTCGGCTTTGACGCTGGTTGTGGCGGTGGCACCGGCGTTAGAAACGACGTGACCGTCTTAGGATTCCCGCTAATAAAAAAGAGAAAAGGTTGGCACCTTTCTTAAATTACTGAAAACGTTTTTAATTATTTGTTTCACTCTGATCTGATCTTTTTCGTTGGTTCGTGGTGTTGATTGAACTGCGTGGGTCCCTAAGAGTGTGGGGAGTGCATCTGAGCTGGTTCATTTTTGGGTTGATTTGAACCGTTTGGCTTAAATTAGTTTCTTCCTTTTCGTTTCTTCTCACAATCTCGAGCTTTTAGCTTTTCTGGGTCGGCGATTCAGGTATAAAGAGATCCATTTTTTTGTACATTTAATATCATTCATGGTTGTTGATCTTTGGGTTTTGTTTCTTTAACGTATATGTTAATATTTGTAGTTGAATATTGAGAGATTGGATTCGGTAATGCTTATAAAGGATGTCACTCGAGAGTATTATGCTAGAATTAAAGGAAATGAAAGAGGGGATTGGGAACATATCAAAGGAGGTGAAAGCAAGATTCGGCGTAGTCTGACTCGATCTCATGTCGCTCCTGATCGAACACCGGCCGTATCTGAATCCGTAGACCAAAGCCCTTGGGCGAATCTGCCGCCCGAGTTGCTCTTGGATATCATCCAAAGGGTCGAACTGAGTGAGACAGCTTGGCCTGCTCGAGCAGTTGTCGTGTTTTGCGCAGCAGTTTGTAGGTCTTGGAGGGAGATTACAAAGGAGATTGTGAAAACTCCCGAGCAATGTGGAAGCCTCACATTCCCCATTTCGTTGAAGCAGGTTGTACTTTTTCTGTATTGGATTACATGTCATTTTGATCAATTGGCAATGAACTACTCTCGCTATATCGACGGTAGTAAGGTTTACATTGGCAAAAAGGCCAAAATCTTTGCAGTGATATATTGGTTGTATCCATCTTTGTCAATAACATAGTTGCCTTGCAATCTACATTTCTACAGTGTGACTTTTCTATCTTGAAACGAACACTGGCTCGTAATTGATGTATAATTTAAGTTGTTGAACGAACACGTGCCTATTAGATGGGTCTAAATTTTCGCACTCTGTCTGTCTTCATAAATAATGGGAGTGGCTATGTATCTATCATCTTATTCTTCCATTTAAAAGGTTGCTGATATATACTATTTTTGCACGTGAACAGCCCGGTCCTCGCGATTCCCCGATCCAATGCTATATTAGAAGGGACAGAGCAACTTCTACATATCACTTGTTCTATGGTCTGATGCCTTGTAAGTTAATTGTTCTGGTGTCCTTAGTTACTATTATTCATGAGATATTTAAGCTTAAGATGTGAATATCTGTTTTGATACAAAAACAGTATAACATTCCATTTCGGTTTTTCCTGTTCCCATACCAGACTTTATGCTCGGTTGAAGCTGGCTTTGACATAATCTGGGTTAACTAGCTTTGTAGTTCTCATAAATTATACTCATTATTCTAGCCAAATAATACAATATTCATTAGAGATACCACTTTTATGAAGCTTCCATATGTTTTGAGAACTATTCACTTGTGTCGCTTCTTTGATTTACAGCTGAGGGAAAGAATGATAAATTCCTGTTAGCAGCAAGGAAGGTCAGAAGGGCTACATGCACGGACTTCATTATATCTATGGCTGCTGATGAGTTTTCTAGGGCCGACCATACATATATTGGTAAACTAAGGCAAGTCTCACCGTTAGATTTCTTATCTTTGTCCGGTTATTCTCTTAATAATGTCTGTGATGACACATTCAAATTGCTTTGCAGGTCTAATTTTTTCGGTACCAAGTTCACGATATATGACAGTCAACCTACATGTGATTCAATAGTACCATCAACTACCCGATCGAGTCGAAGATTACATTCGAAGCAGGTGTCTCAAAAACTATCTTCATCCAACTACAACATAGGTACCATTACCTACGAGCTCAATGTTCTCCGAAAGCAGGGACCGAGGAGAATGTATTGCGTTTTGCACTCGGTTCCCGTGTCTGCTATTCAGGAAGGAGGCACCGCACCGACACCATTGGCATTCAGCCGATCCTTTGACGAACAACTTTCTTCCTTAACCAATTCGAAAGGTAAGGAACCAGTGGCAAACACCAGCTCCCGATCCCTCCCAGTCATGCCAATAGTTGCCGTGGACTCAGGAGAGCCACTAACCCTAAAGAACAAGGCTCCAAGATGGCATGAACAGTTACAGTGCTGGTGCCTTAACTTCAAGGGGCGTGTGACGGTGGCCTCTGTTAAGAATTTCCAGCTTGTTGCAGCTGCAGAGTCATCACATAACATATCACCCGAAGAGCAAGAGAAGGTAATCTTACAGTTTGGAAAAATCGGCAAAGACATCTTCTCCATGGATTATCGTTACCCTCTATCCACTGTCCAAGCTTTTGCAATCTGCCTAAGCAGCTTTGACACCAAACCGGCTTGTGAATGATCACTGCGGATCAGAGATCTATGTCATCGATGTTGCTATGGTTTATTATTAATCCTTCCTTGCTTTCAAGCCCTGGCAATCTACCAGGTCAGCTTTATTCCAAACAGGCCTGTGAATGATATATAGCATGTTGGTAAGAAGATACCCTTCTTTCTCCCTTGGAACGCTTCCTCTATTTTATTACTTGCATTTATGTGTTAATGGAAGCTTTTCTTGAGAGTCCTACTTGTTATATCTTTTTAAGCATGCATAAGCACAACCTTGGTAAACTTTAACCATAGACTGATAAATGTACAACACCATGTTACTTAGACTGAGTATCGGATACTGGTATGCATCGTAACTCCTGATGTTGGATATTGGGTGTGCCACACCTGAATATAAAACCAGAAATAATCCAAAGATGTAACTGACAAGAAACACTTCTTTATAAGAATTAGCTTCTTCCGGTTAGCCTTTCTATCTCGAATCCCAGTCAAGAACTGTTATCGGAAAAGTGAAGACTCTGACCGATGAAGCAATCTTCTATGCATTCATGTACTGAAAATGCACTTCACGTGTACCAATTTGTTACCAAAAGATCCATGATCAATATCACCTTTGAAGACCTTAAACTGGCTACTAGCTTTCTGACATACTAGTATGCATGCACACAGTTCAACTGATTAGTGCAAGAACCCCAAAGTCTATGATGCAAAGGAAGAACACTGAAAGATCCTCTTTTGGCTCCCTCGATCAGATTCACTTTGCTATTTATTACCATTTTTCCTGAACCATCTGTTCTTTTGTCCAAAATTCTCTGAGAAAGTTGTTCCCAAGCTTATGCTAGTAGATGTAGACTAGACAAAATTAGTGGATTTACTTTCATTAACTTTGACCCAAGGTTTTAACTTCACTGCTTGGTCGGATCATCTGTTCTTTGAATATAGAATCTGATTATTTAGGAAACAGAATGGCTATCTAGGCATCTTCTTTTGAAAATTCCAGTCATTAAGTAAATACAAATTAGCAGCCATCAAATGAGAACAATTCTATCAAGGTGAAAATTGGGAATCCAGCAGTGTTACTTTGGAAGGCAGGTGGTGATAAGGGTTCCAAATCTTTGTAAGATGAGGTAAAACAATGTAAGTGCATATTCGCTCTACATATACCTCAAGCCACCATCATTAGCCCCCCCAAACTACCCTTCTGTTATTCTTCAATGCCAACTCGCCAACATTAACTATTCATACTATGTAACAAAAAAATTAATTGCACCAAACATCCCAAACTATTTTTTTTTAATTAAGTCCACAAACTATCGATGTCATAACAATCAAGTCTTTCCATCAATTTAGTCACCGACTTGAATGTTAAATGCCAACTTAGATATGACATGGAACATATTTAAAACACGACGATCAAACTTTAAATATTATACTCCAATTGCGTGAACAACTTGTATCTTGAAAATAGAAATAAATAACCTATTAAATTTTAATTATGTAGTTGGGACCAGGGACCAGCTCTTTATTGTTGTTAGATTTTTTTTAAAAGTGTTGTGTGAAATAATCTGATCTTAGTAGTTTAGGTAAGTAGTAGTTTAGGATGTTACATAGTATGTGTTTACTTGATTTAAATTATTTGTGTTTATTTTTGGGTTTGGGACTGGTTCAGCGGTCGAAGTTGGAAAGGAATCGAGTTTAGAGTGATAATTCTTCAACAATATTTTTAATTATATGTACACTTTTATAATACTTCGAAAGTGTCGCTGTTTATATATTAACTTCAGGGCTTCTTTTTTTCCCATTGGTCATGTCATAAAAATTTATGTCACATAAAATATAGGCATAACCTCTAAAAACAATCTGAAAGATGAGAAACACTGAAGTAGTAGCATTTATGTAAGCATAAAACATGCTAATGGTTAGCATTGCGGAGAAAAAGAACAACCGACACTTATTCATCCCCTAAGCAAGGATGCTAATTTTGATGCTCATCTTGTACTTACTTAAATCTCAGACATTCCATTTCTAGACAATATGTGAGTTCTCTCAGTTCGCTCGCTGTGCAATGGGCGCCGACTCCAACACCACCTAATGTCCATTGCTGATTTGGTGGGGTTTCTCGTCAATTCCCCAGAATTTAGCTGTCGTTACATCATCTCGAGCCATCAATCGTGAGAACTCTTCATGGTCATACTTCAGGGTCGCATTTCCTCCGAATTCACTGGGGAGGTTCTCGACATCAAAGTAAGATTGCATGAGCTCTACGCTGTCTTTGTTTTTAGCGTAAACAAACTTCACCTTCTGAGCTGTTTTTGGATCCAGAAATAACCTGACAGCCTGTGGAAAATGCTCAAAGCAAAAAAAAAAATCAATCAAATATCTTTTAAGTGATATTTCATGTTAATGTAACAATCTAAGATTGAAATATTGCAGCTTCTTGGAGCTAAGTACACAGGTTTTATGCTAGTTTGCATTCCATACAAGATGAAAATAAAGGGTATAATCATTTACACATCATGGACAATACCTAGCCTCTACGTTGCTGACTTCATTTTCCTTCAAAATACCTGTATTCGACTAACTTGAGTGTTCATATCAGATAAGAGTATGTTTAACTACTTCTATGTATGTAGGGGGTCCTTGCAGGATTAATCTCTGTGCCCATGTCCGAATGTGTAACGCGTGGATCACGGATATAGATACTTCCATATCCAAATACAGGTAAGGGGATATTTACCCTCTAGGTTTGGAAATCCCCTTCCCGCCTGCCTATTTTCAGAAAGTAAATGGGCAGTCTTACAGAATGCTCAAATAGTACAAGAAACCAAATGGAAAGGCAGGAGATCAAACCTTGTAGAATGGTTCAAAAAACCTCGGTGGATTATACAAGAAAGCGATTGCCAGTCTCTCTGGATAGTGACTCTGAAGTATGTAAATGATATCCCGGGCAGTTCTGATGGGAACACTGGTGCTCAATGAAAAGCCGGTGAAGTCTATCAACCATGACATTTGTTCTTGGCCCTCGGAGAGATTAAGGATAGCATTTTCTATGAGATAAACCAAATGGCGGATATTATTTTCTGCTGATGTTGTATTCTGCCAAGAAATATAGGTGGAAAAATTAATAGAGTAAGATTGGTGACCCAGAACAAATGAAAACCAGTGCAAACCTGCATTCCAGGTCTCATTATAAGCACTGTTCTTCCTTGACGGTCATGGAAGTTCGCCCGGGAAACTTTTCCGGTCTCACCTTCATGTGCCACTTCATGCTGGAGAAGAAGATGCAGTGAGGCAAGTTTGAGAAACAAGAAATACGAGCATTTATCACCAAAAACTGTACTAGTTATAAAGTCATAATCATATGCAAAAACAAGAATGGAACATGTGATTCATGATAAGGTAGGAAAGAACTATAATCCAGTTTCATAATCATCAAATCTAACTGATCTAACAAAGTTTCAACTTGAACTAATTATATGAAGTTTCAAGTATTCAAATAGGCTTTGGAAACTCATCTGGCACTAACAAGATATAGATTGATCACTGTATGTTGCTCCAACTATTTATTTTTGTGGAGTATCCATATTCAAATATAAGTATAGGATATAATAATCCAAAGACTCAAGATACATGAAAAACTTGAAAAAAGAACATATCCATGTCGAGTACATGCACCTATCCCACACCAGCAGCCAAGTTTGACTAACACGCGCGCGCGCGCACACACATATAAGCATTACTACCATAAAGAGGCAGGAATCATCAAACATACCCAACGGATTTCTTCTGGCTTATACGTCAAACGCCACTTTAACGTCTCTTCCAACATTTTCATTGCCTTAGAAACATTCCAATTCCGAGCTTCTAAATATCTCCTGAGGCATGCATCGGTACAGTACATTGAACTGCGCCCAGACAGGGGCCCTATTGCAGTCCTGAGTTCACTGACCTGCATATCAGCCAAGTATTCAGAGTTTACTTACAATTGCAACCGGACAATTTATGTTAAATTACAAATATTCCATCTTGACACTACAAATTGACACCTATGTTATTCAAGCATCCGGTGTGCTTTAGATGCAAACTGTGCCTAACACAGATATATTTGTATTAAGGAACGTGTCGAATACCGGTTTCAAACACAAATACTACAAGAAAAATGAATTAAACTTATTCTAGTGATCAAGTCCATATAAAAAAAACTCAGAATATTTTTAGTCACTAATTTAGCGCCTCCCCTATTTACAACATCTAGAGATCAAATCCACAAAATTTGACCAGAATTAATTAAATTTATTCTACTTAAAAATCAGTTATATATATGAATGAAAAAATTACCTTAGCATCTCGTTGCTCAGAATCGTCCTTCTGTGTATGCTTTCTACGAAGAAACATTTCACTGCAAATTAAATCGATCAAAAATTAAACCCAAATTTACCGTTCAAAAGATGAAAATAAAATAATTGTTCTAATTTGATTATTAATAGCACAAACTTAACAGCAGCCATTAAGTTTGAATTCCTTACCTAACAAGAAATTAATATACATCGATCATCTTACATGAAAATTCGGAAAGCAACGCGGAGGAAAGAACTCATAAAAGGCGTTTGACATTTCAAGCATTCATTGAACGACTGACAGAGGTCAGAGCTCTTAAAGATCCATCAATTTTGAAAACAGATCTATCTCTACGTTCACTTTCAAAAAGAAAAGAAAGGAAACAGAGTATTTTCTTCAAATCTAATAAACACGAAAACTAGAAACAAAATTGTGCAGGAAAACTCAAAACGAAGATGAATCGGTCGATGCATATAGATCTACTTCACAACTCAACAACACTAGAAGTATTGACGAAGAAGAAATGTTAAAATAAGAAGAAATAGAAAGGAAATACCTGATTAAGCAAAAACCAGATGAAAATCGAAACTATCAGAGGCAATGAGAATATCGAAAGTTTGAGCTGAATATTTTTCCTTTATTAATGGTGGGAAAGCAAGAAGAACCGGAGAATAGTTTTTAGTTTTATTCTAGTAAAGTACGTCATCATAGGTAAGTAAACTATGCTTAAAGGATCATTTTGGTCACTGAAGTTTTAAAAGTTATAAAACAGTCAATAAATTAATCAAATTATTACAAAATGATCAGTTTAATACTATAATAATTGAAAAGTTAAGATTAATTTAGGTACTATTTTTTAAAATTTCAATAAAAATTAGGGATCATTTCTTAATATTTTGATAATTTAATAATTATTCTGTAACTTTTAAAAATTCAATAACCAAAACAATCTTTTAACATGGTTCAGTGACCTCTCTATTATATTTTCCCTTCATTTTATTAGCTAAGCACACAAAGCGTGGGATGGCAAGTTTGTTTTTTATATTGTTCTTTTAAGGCAAAGTCAATTCAACTTCACCTAAATTAATAATCAATTTTAACTAATTTAAACGTGATACGTATCTGCTTTAAATGCATTCAAACATAATTATTTTTTATTTAAAAAATTAAGAATTAATAAGATGATTTATTAGATCGGAGATAAATTGAGGGAGGGTTGAAATGCAATCTCACTCATAATTAATTCTTTGTATAATTTAAGTATTTTGTTTTTTTTTTCTATTGATAATTTAATTTTTAATTTTTAAAATTTTATAATTTTATACCTTAAAATTTTAAGATAAAATACACTAATGGTCTCCTAACTATGAAATATTATTTTATTAAGTCTCTCAATTAAAAGTAGTAAAATGATCCTCTGACTATATAGTGTTGCTTTATTAAGTCTATCAGTTATCAAAAGTTACAAAACGATCAATCGACTATTAATTATGTTCCAAACCAGTCATTTTCTGTTAAAAAATTGATGGTATTCTGAGTTGAACATTAAATTATTGATTGTGATATGATAAAACTTGATCCTAGAATCTCAAACGACTATCAAATCTCAGTCATCATGTTAACGTCCGGCTTAGACAATCGTTGTTTTTTAAGGGAAAATGACGAGTTTGGAACATAATGAATAGTCTAGTGACCATTTTATAACTTTTAATAGTAGATAGACTCAACAAAACAACACACTAAATTCGAAAAGACTATTTTGTAACTTTTAATAGTCCATGAACTTAATGAAACAACACCCTATAGACGAACGACCATTTGTGTACTTTACCCAAATTTTCAATATACCATCTTAAATTTACATTCTGTAATATACAATTATACAATTGTCCCAATAATATTAGAACAATATATTTTGGTCATATTATTGAGTAAGGATGAATATTAATTGATTGCAAAAGAATTTTTTTTTCTTTTTTCCATACATTGGATAAGAGGATGAATGATGAATAGGCTACATTCGCCTATTACAATTTATCGGCACGTAAAAGTTTATTTTGGGATTTATAGCATTCTCTACAGTAACTTGAAATTCTTTCTGAAACTCATCATGTCGAGACGACGAATTTTAAAAAAATATTTTTATTTAAATATTTTATCTTGATGTGATAAATTTTAATAAAAATATTTATATTTTATTAGAATTCGTCATCTAACGAATTTGGATAAAAATAATTTCTTGTTAAAATTCGTCACCTCGACATGATGAGTTCCAACATCATTGTAACAATTGTCAAATTCTCTGAAATAAATGTCGGATGCCCTAATGAGCTAAATAAAAAAATCCGCTTCCCCTGATGAGCTAAAAAAACATGATGAATATCCACCGATATACAAGCAAAACCCAAATCTTAAATTGAAAACAATCGACAAATAGTTGGCTTTGAAGGCCTCAAACTTCAATTCAATCTGCTTGTTCTCTGCTTCATCTGTAATAACTTGGGGAAAAAATGAAGTCAAGAGATCTTGCAAAGGTTTTCAAATCCCATATACTCTTCATCTGCCAGTTTTTGAACCATATCAGCAATGCCAACTCCACCTGCCAACATTCACCAAAATATATGGTTCAGCTCAGCAGCTTCATATGATTGAAGCAAAGGAAAGCATTGTATTTACCCAAACTGATTGCACTGATAAAGATGGTCAATGCTAGTACGAAGATGATTATTGATGCTCGTCCGAAGACCGTGATGATTTTTCGGACTACATGCTGGCCGGTGAAGGCTGCAATGGTGGCTACCAGGACGAAATAAGCAGCTGCAGGGTAAACAAGGAGTTAACCACACTCTATAAGGCCGATGAAGCCTAATGGTGACCTTTTTTAGTGCCATCGTTGCTTACCGTATGGGATAGGGAAACGATTGAGAAGATAATATTGTACGACCGACATCGAGGCCGAGAATGCCATTGAAAATGTCGAAGTTGCACTAGCTACCTGCACAATTGCATGGTAACATCATCAATACAGGTTGCATTTTATCTCTTTAGATGTAAACCTTGAATCAGAGCTTGAACATGAATCCTTTTTCAGCTTCTGACCCCGATGTATGCTTATATTGTAGGTATTATCATCTTCGAGCACATAATGATTCCTCAAAGATCTACCTTCTGCAGGTGTGTCACTTATAGTTCGAACCAATGATCTCTCATAAGGTCATATGTGAGAGGCTCCTTGTTCGAACCAAGTAGGCACATTGCAGTTAACAAAGCCTCAAGAGACCAGTGAATGTCCACAGAGAACAAAACCTTCGACGTAAACATTCGAGAAAGCAGTGACTATATTCCGATACTATACCTGAGGGGGAATTCCGAGTTCGAGGAAAAGAGGACCCAAGATGAAGCCACCTCCTAATCCAAGCAGACCACCAACCACACCAGCAATTATGCCACAAGAACAGTAAAAAAGAAGCTGATATATCTTCCAATTGGTCACTTCCTTTCCTTTTGATGCAATCACCCTTCTCCCTTTGTATAAGCATATGGCTTCAAAGACTGTCACAGAGGCAGCAATAGGTATCTATAGGGGAAAAAAAACAAAGATAAACATAATAAACTCTAAATTCTCTGTTCTGTAAATATGTACATTTCAAGATTTTCTACCTGCAAGGAGTTCACAATCCAATACATGACTGAGCAAGTCTGAAGATATTCCTTAATAATCTGAACGACGAGAAAACCGATCCATACGTAAACGAGCAGCGATAACTCTTTCCAGTATATGTTTTGCACCAGGGGAACCTGAATCGAGTGATCGACAACGACAACAGCTGATTATAACAAAGAATATAAAAGACTGTCGTTTTAAGAAAACTGAAAATGTTATTAAAACTCACGTCATCATATCGCATGGTGTTTGGGCCACTAGGTAACAGTTTATAACCTTGAACAGCTCCATCTGCAACACTCAAAGTTTTAGCACAAGCCATTTGCAACATTTCACCTACGCATGAAAAGCTAATTTGGAGATCAATAACACACTCACCGGCTTTCGACTGCTCGGCTTCTAACCTTGCAGCTTCCTGTAAATAGAATCTCAAAACCCTCATTAAGAATCCATTCCACGGAAATACTTAGAGAGAAACAAGTTGAAAAATCTACCTTTTTCATCACTGTCTCTTTCTTCCATGTTTCTACACCTTTGATTAAGGCTTTAGTTGAAGTACCTGGCAATGGCATCATTTATATCAGAAAAAAAAGAACTGTCATAGTTCATGGTTACCTATGTTACCCGTACAATGTTATTTTTTTTTATAAAAAATGAAGAGTCCGAGTAACATAATATTACCGATAAAGAGGATGATAAGCAAAAGCGTAACCATCCAATCGGCAAACAGGATATTGAGGGTAACTCCAATGCTGATTCCAAGCATAAGCATAGGCTGGAAGAGCAATGCCAAGTCATAATCTATGAGGGGCATTTCCAGTGTTGGGTGCCTAAGTCTCAGGTTATAGTATACTGTTGATCCAGCGGCACCCATGATCATACCTGCAGTCTCCAGCAAAGAAGTATATATATTTGTTCGAGTTTCGTTGTGTCGAAGTTTAGAATACGACTGTGACATAACGTTGCGATCGATATCTAGAAAAAGAAACTCACACTTGGAAATGGCAGTGGAAGACTTGGGGTCAAAGCCTATGATTAGAGTGAGCATTGGAACAAAAAATCCACCACCACCAACACCTCCAACGCTACCCAAAGCTGCACCAAGGAATCCAACGATTGTTCCGATAACTATTTTCCAACCAAACTCCATCTCCTGTTGAATCAACAATTGAGTTCAATTATCAAAACTAAACAAACTTGAATGATGTTCAAGAAGGTTCACTGGCAGGTAACTTACCGGCCAGATGGGTTCATAGGCCGCCTTGCTACCTTGCCATAGGAAGCTGACAACTCTATGTAGAAGGCTTTGTGTTTTTTCTTTGAAAACTTGGTGATTTGTTTTGTCTTTCAATGTTCTTTCAGCAATCCCAGCATTGGTCATCATGACAAGAACTAGAAAGATTGCCCATGCTACCATTGCCAAGCCTCTCCGGTTCACTTGAAATCCAGCCATTTCGGCTACTGCTTATGAACTATTATCAGAGAGGGAGTCAAATGAAAAACTTTTTTCTGGGTAAAAGTTTTCTTATTTATCTTCTAATTCATCTCCCCTTGATATACAGCAGAATACAAAACGGAGAAAAGTAGAAAATTTGATGAAACATTGAGTTTCACTCCTATAGTACCTCCCTGGTGTCTGCATTTATAAAACACTCTCTCACAAGAGGTGAGTATACATACGGATACGTCTTTGTCACGTATTCGTATCAGAATCGAGTTGTCCACACTATTGTGGTGAACAGAGGAAGGTAAACGATGAAGCTGAGACAGAAAAGGGTTGAAGGAAGCTTCCCCAGAAACAGCATTTTGTTGAAGTTACATTAAAAGAACAGATTTAGCATTGATTTAAGGCAAAAGCCTTATGAAGCTTCATAGTTGCTTCAACGTTGAATCCAAGTTTGGCTTCTTCTTTGTCTTTTTGGAACTTTCTGGCTTTTGTTTTGGACCAGAAAGAGAGGTTCAACAAGACATGAGAGGGTTTTTTGTTCCATTGTCATTGAATGCAACTTTCTCTTACAAGTTTGAAACATTTTTCCGACCTGTTGAGATTATAGGAGAGATGGTTGAGATCGTCGACGGACCACCGGAGTTGACCATTATCCGATTTTGGGCGATATTGGCAGTTGATGTAAACGCTAGAACAATAATTAATATCATAACAGTAGAAACAAAAATAGCTAGGTTTACATAAAACTAACGTTCGTTAAAGCTCGAGAAACAATCAGGACATCCGAGTTTCTTTTAGTAGAAATACGACAGTTAGTGGATCTAATTTAATGCCACGACATTATAGCAACAGACTGGGAGCAGATGCCCCAAGACTCGATGGAGTAAGTCGGTGAGTGTATGTTCCGATATAGAATTTCGGATCTCATCCAGGAGTATCCGATGATGCTTCGATAGTGTTAGAGATGTGTGTGAGCTCCGAGATATATAATCCCTCAATCACTCCATGATGTGAGTCACAGATTAACAGTCTAGTAGTTGTATACTCATACTTATGCCACTTGTCATTTCATGTGGTGAATGCATATAGTATAGTACAGATTTTAGTGAGGCACTGAGCTCGTAAGCTTAACTTTCAGAATGTGTTTCCGTGCGCAGGTTCTTAGGGACATATTGTGAGAAGCTATCGTCATCAGATATTTTAGTGCAACAGAGCAAATTTTCAGACCCCTCAGAATACGCCTTGAGTCATCTTTAGAGGGTATGTACTGTTATAGACTTTGTTATGTATTCAGTCATAACTCTTTTAAAACTCAATATTTTGTATTATTTTACGGATGTATTTTAGGAGTTTTCCATTATTTGTAAATCCAGTTTATTATTATATTTTTATATTACATTATGTTTAAAGTTAAGAGATTTACAAACAGTTTTAAAAGAAAATTTTGGGTCACTATTTTTGTAGTCTCGTATAAATATTATAATCCATGAATCTTCGGGTTTAACTGAATTAAGGTGTTACAAAAGTTTTCAAAGTTTTATTGTTATTTCGAAATTTATGTGTTTCCTTTATATATATTAAAAATTTTATATAATTTTTTTAAAATTATCAAATTGTGGCACATGTCACTTAATAGAGAAAATTAACACCGTTGACGGTTCAGACATCTAAATTGGTAACTTTTGTAACGTTAAGCACCGGAATTATTCAAAAAATATTTTAGACACTTATTCATGTGAAAAGCGTTATAATTTGTGTACTTATTTTATAATTAATTCTTTTTATAATCTTTTGAAGGTGAGTTACTTTACCGCATGGTTTTCTAAATTAAAGTTTTTTCCTCATGAATAGAAAATTTTAAAGTGTCTTAATTTGGGTTAGATTAAATTAAGTATTTTTTATTTATTTAAATTGGAGTAGAATTGATGTAAAGATTTCTTTTGTGAGTAATTTAGAAAAGTAATTCTTACATTGACTAATTATTCATCCGCTTTTGGTAGAGAAAAGGATATGGAGCTATAGTGCTTGTAGACAAATTAAGAAGCAGGTCGACCTTCCATGATAATTTAATATTATGTTTTTAATGCACAGTTAGTCTTTATTGTAGGTAAATGTTATAACTTTACATCGAAAAAGTATACAGCGCACGTTACGTACTGTAACATATTGTTAAAATAACGTATCGAAATATATAGTAAGTAGATTTATTTTTATTGTGTAAATATTAAAAAGTATAACTTTAAAAAATTATAATAAAAATATACTTTTTTTATTAAAACTAATAATTAATTTAAGTTATTTAGTTATATTAGAATTAGGTTTATTATATTATAAAAGTTGGAACCACCTTCATCAAAGGTCACCACCGCCAGTGGCTATGTTTCTCGCAGGAAACCATTGCCTCAAGTTTCAGCAGTGCTTTTGCCCTTTTTTTGACCGCCGGTGACCATAGCAGAGTTTCGCGTCGCCCAGCAGTCACCGTATCGAAGGAGATCGTCGGCAGCCCGCCGTCCTTTTTTTTTCTTTTCCGTTCTCGTGTAAGTCCGTGGTTAAGTCTCCATCCTCTTCTCTGTTTTGCACTAGATTAGGCTGAATTTTTTAACGGTAAAATTACATTAAAAACTCCCTTTATTTGTGATCGAAGGGTTAAATTGCGTGAAACCCCCATAGTTTTCAGCGTTTATAATTTCGTCTGTTTTAATATACATGGTTAAATTACATGAATCCTCCCGTACTTTTGATTTAATTTAAATGGAGAAATTGCATACAAACCCTAAAACTTTTCCATATTTATATTTTAGACTTCTAAGTTTTAAATCTTCTATAATCTGTGCTTTTTTTATTTTGATAATTAATTTCGAATTTACTCTTTGATTTTAATTAACAATGTTTTTTATAATTTACTTTATTCATCAATTTTTATTAGCACTAATTTCATAGCATTTGATATTAATTGTTATCATTCATCTTAACAATTTTATACTTAATTTTACTTCATATTAATTGTGATTATTTGAATCAATATAATATTAATTTTGATACGAAATTTTGGTATTGATCATTAATTTTAATTTCGATACTTAATTTTAACTTGATATTCATTTTACATGGTGGATCATTCAAGGTAAAGGGATCAAACAATAAGTGCAATGTCTCATATATTCGTTTGCGACCTGAATTTTCGTTGCTACATGGGCAAAGGTGGATCATTCATCCGCCTTTCATCAACTCTTCTCTCGCGATTTTGTGCGTTCATTGTAGTGTGTGTCTTTTCTTTCCTGTTATCAGCAAACAAAAGCATGATCATAACCTTTGTCATCGTCAAAATCTTGCTATAAATGCTCCATTTTTATCAGCATGCTTTTCCTTTCGGTGTTACACAAGTTTTTGAGTGGGTCGGGAGGGAGTTTGAGGAAGGATAATTAATGTTCCAATTTTTATGGATCTACTTATCCTCTTAGGCATTCTAGAATGACCCTAAATTTATTTTACCATGTAAATTAAAGGTGAGTATTTAGGGATGGACATTTAACTTGAAATCGATGGGTTTCGATCTGATGTAGTCGGATTTTTTAGAAGAAAAAAATAGGTTCAGGTCGGATCGAGTCGAACTTTTTAAGATGTGAGGTTGGATCAGGTTCGGGCAGAGGGTGAAAAAACTCCGACCCGACCCGACCCGGGGATAATAATATAATTTCTTTAAAAAATGTTTTTTTTAATTAAGTACTTATTTTATACCGGGTCGGGTTGGGTCGACGTTTGGTGGAGGATATATATTTTTCAGGTCAGATCAAATCGGATGGATGATATATAATTTTCAGGTCAAGTCAGGTTCGGGTGGAGGATACATATTTTCAGATCGGGTCGGGTTGAAAAAAAATCGACCCTAACTCGACTCGTTCTCATCCCTATGGTTATTTGACTGAATCAAGTGGAAAAAAAATCAAGTAGGACGAGTTTAAGAGTATCGTTTTATTATTTAATTTTTTTTTAAATTTTTTGAGTCGAGATGAATTTATAAAATTTAAGTTAAATCAAATATATTTGTTTAAGTTTCTTCTCAAATTTGAATGAAATTATTTATAATGTTATGATATTTACTGGTTGTAATTTAAATGACTCACCCTAAACATACACGAGATACATATATATAATTTTCATATTCTTTTAGATGTGTAAGATTTGTAATATTGTTTAATAAATTAAATATCTTATAAAATTATAAAATATATTTATAACGTTGTTTAAAAATATTTTGAAGATAAAATATTGATGAGAATATGTAGGAGTCAAAGATTTGATGGAAAAAACGATCGTAAAGAGTTATAGTTAGATGATCAAATTGAATAAATATAAAGTTGAAGGAACTAAATTGGAAAGGAAAAATTATAGTCAAAATAATGAATTGAAGTTATATATGTATTCTACTATAGTTGAGGAGTATGTGGTTCGAATTTAGTTTAAAATGGACTTAAAACAAATGAAAGATTGAAGAAACAAAGAAATTCGGAATCAAAACACAAAACAATTATAAATATGTATATATATATATTTGATAAATCTAAGGAGAACACAAGATAATATTTACTCAAAAACTCTCAACTCTTTAATAATAAATGTTTATACACGTGCATAAATAGTACTCGAACCGAGATCTCAAAGAATAATAAATTTTTTAACCATTGTGTTAATCACTTTTGTGACACAAAACAATCAAATCTGTATACTAAAGTAAACGATACCTTAGAAGTTGGGTACAAATTTAGGCACCCCTTATAATGTGATTTATTTACCTCACTCAAACCATCTTAATAAAGAGGCAAGTTACTTAACTACACAATTTAATTCGGGTCAACATTAAAGCCTGGATATTAAGGATTAATTTGCATTAGATATCATAATTATCTACAAATGCTAGAAATCAACCTCCTACTTCAATTACATTCACAGATTCATCCACTCCATGCCATGGATATTGTAACTGTTCTCTGCTATGCAGAAAACATCTTCATATCCTCCAAATTCAAAAAGGAATGGTGCATCCATGGCTTCCATTGTCAGAGATGAGCTCGGACTGTTACTCGATACCCCATCTACTCGCTCCCCCAGCCGTTGGATTTCCTTCTGCGCTTCACACAGCTTCTCTTTAAGCTTCATAACCTGCAATTCATTAACTAACTTTAATTGTAGCTGAGAAAATAATTGTGAAGAAGGGAAGAGCCGGATAATATCGTTAGTTCCTGCTTGGTTCCCGAGAAACCAGCAAAGAAAATACATGTTTATACCTCCGATTCAAGACGACATTTCTCGAGAACGACGCCGTCGTGGATGGACTGCAGCTTGCTAAACTCTTCCTCGAGCTTCTTGTTCTTCCAGCGAGCTCTTCGGTTCTGGAACCAAACAGCAACCTGACGGGGATCGAGTCCGAGTTCGGAAGCGAGTCTGTCTTTCTTTTCAGACTCGAGTTTATGCTCATTACCAAAGTTAAGTTCAAGTACATCAACTTGTTCCTGTGTAAGCTTCCTCTTTTTAGCCCCGAAACGGCTGTCTTCCCCTCCTTTGTTCCTGTTCCGCCGCCGTCGGGGCTTTGCTTCCGCTGTTCAGTATTAACAAAAATAAGTTTATATATTCGATATAAATAATTTTAAGTTGTTTTTTGAAAGATCATATCTTTAACAGATAAATATGAATAATTTAGATTACCTTGCTGAGGTGCAATTTGGGAGAAAGCAGCAGAGTATAATGGGGAGATAAGAGCCACTTCATCTTCCACCTTATTCATTTGATCTTCCTCCTCTTTTCTTTCCTTTTTTTTCCCTAAGTAACGGGTGATGAATGTCAATGAAGTGAATGTGATAGGAAGCAAAATGGTTTATTTATAGAGTTGAGTAGGACTTAATATTTTTTTTATCTTTTAAGTTATTTTCAATAATTCGAATTAGGTTTAATTTAAAATTGTTGTTGCAATTCAGATTTTAAATGTAGTCTCTAAAGTATATTATTTTATTCATTGAATTTTAGTTCGATTGATATAATTACTGTTGAAATGATATAGATTAAAACATGTTAAAATCTATATCAATTGTCAACGAGTAATGGTATAAGTGGTTGAGATTCAGAAATTTGAGCTTGTAAGGTCAATTTCGAGTTCTACCACCGTCACTCTTGATGGGTCATCTGTAAATTCCTATGTGAATCTCAATTAAGTCTTAAGTATGTCGTGGTCCTGAATTGAGTGAGTCACCTGACCTAAACTTTTTGTTATAAAATAAAAAATCTTTATCGACCACAACAATAATATTATTGCATGTATAATATCAACTAATATCAGTTAAACTCGTTTGAAGATTTTATGATAATAATATTGTTCTATAACAAAAAAATTTTTTTGTAGAAAACAAAATTTTATTAAAAATAGAAAATATTTAGAATTGCAATGAAGCTTTATAAGTATATCTGTAAACCTAAACTAAATTATAATTAGCACATTTCTTATAATCATTGACTCAAGAACTAACCACCTAGATCACACATGTGTGGATCAAAGAAGTAAAAGGTTAAAAAATCAAATCAAAATGCTCGAACAAAATAAAAATACGAACAAATCTAACTACATCGGCAAATGAACCACAAAAAAGAGTAAAACTATTGAAAGACCATTGATAAATCGCAAATCAGAGTCAAGCGACGTGAGAAAGTCAAGTATGCGACGCGGGTCGGTCCAGATTAATTAGGGCAAAACTTTAGAATTAGGAGAGAAAAAACACATAATATATGAATTTCATCTTTAATCCATAACGTAGAGCTAATAATTGAGTTGTGAATGGGTATCAATCTCATCCATGCATTACTACAAACATCTTTGATCAGATCCTCCAAACCCTAATTTGAACCCAACATTCCGATTCTGCCATTGATGGTAATTAACTAGAAACATCATAACGATAAATGGAATTTTCGGAAAGGGTGATAACTTTTACGTGTGTTAATGCTCTTTATTTAGTTACACCTTATCTAAAAGAATTCCCAGTAAAAATGCTCCCGCTTTATTCATTAAAGCAGGTCCAGAAAGAGAGAGAAATGCATGCAGGTATCAAAGGTGCCACCATTGAATCAAAAACTGCAACCGATGTTTGTCTAAATAAAGCAAATGTTAATGTGTTTGAGAAGCGGGACCTTTTTGGACCAAAGTTGAGATTAGATTTGTCGGTGCTGGAAAGGGTATATATCGGTGAATGATAAGGTTCTGTCGATTTGGCGACTTCATTTCACTGAAGATCGGATAAAGCTTCCTTACTATATTCGTTGGTTTCTTGTTTGCTAAGTTAAAAAAAGGGTTTCTAGATCTTAAATCCAGATCAAGTCGGAGTCTGTTTTGATATTATTTGTTAACCAAGGTTCAACTAGGATTAAGTGAAGCCATGGTGGTCAAGAAAAGGATAAAGATGAAATTATATACATTGATATTTAATTATCTTGATCGTAAAGGTTATGATTTTAGATCTCTGAATATCGAGATTCGAATTTTATATTATATATATATAAGTTTTGTTAGTAGGGATATACATGTAGCAAATTGAGTCTTTTCTCTCTCTTTTGTTGTATAATTTAAAATTAAAAATTTTCATTTTAATGTTTTGATTTGATTTAATATAAATAATTTTTTATTCGATAAAATAAAAAGATAGTTAAAAAGAAAGAAAGAAAGGGATAGTATAATAATTATATTTAAATATGTAAAAATAATAATTATTTTGGATCATGTCGAGTCAATAATTGTTTTTTATTTTATTTTAGATTTTTCCCCTTAAACCCTAAATAATGAAGTGCAAATGTTTACACTAGTGGCTGCTATGTTTCTCCCGACATTTCCAGCTCTTGTTTCCTCATCTTCCAACTTTGTATTAGATTTTACAATCTCTTACTTTTGTAATAAAATCCCTAAACATCTTCCAGAGAATATCCAGTGGTCCATTCACATTTTCTCTCCTCTACGAATAGATTTAATCGTGAAAAAGACACAAAAAATATTTTTAAAAATATTTAAATTTTACGACTTTTCATTATTTAATAATAAACGTTTAAAAACTCTTACGATTCGTGAGGATTAGTGTTGGGCGCTCATCCACTTGCAACTTGTTAGTCTTCAAAGTCAATTTTGTTTGTGTTGTACATGACAGAAACAGTATACCTCCATGTTTCCCTCTTCCCATCCTACAAAACCTTGTCAAACGAACCCCTTCATCCTGCCTTAATTTCAGCCATTTTCTCAGTGCATTATGATTCTTTCAACTCTTACAATGCAGTCATTTTATAATACGGCATCGTACAATGTGTCTGTCTCATGTGTAGGGTTTCTAGGTTTTCTAGATTCGAATTTTTACCATTGTTATTAACATGTCATTTTCACTTTCTTTAAAGACCACACAAATGTATAAAACCATTAGATAAAGTAAGCTTATGGTCCCCATAATTAAAAGCAACAAATCTTTAAAAACAGCTAAGTTGTATCGTTCGGATAATATTAAACTATTAATTATTGAAATAATGATAAAAAGATTCTGCAGTAGTCCATTATCTCCATGATTAAACCCCATAATTCATGATTAAACATTTTAATAAAGGAAATCGTACAAACAGAGACGTGGATGGAGAACAAGTGGTTTCGTGGCCAAGTTTGGTCCATGTAGTATGTGCAGATATATTAGTAGTATATTTTACCCAGACTTGTACGAATCCCAAGCTGTCTTTGATCCAGCTGCAGCATGCAAGACCCCCCATATCCTCTAGGGCACATGGTAGCCATTTACACCAGTCATAATCAAAATAAAAATGAGCACCATAGTGTTTTTTTGCTTTAGTTTTTGGCTTGGTTAGTACGTGTCCTGCAAGGACAGGGATTCTGGCTATGTAGTTTAAGCTAAAAGCCTGCCTAGATTGCTCTCTCATCTGGACTGTCCTACACAATGGTAAATGGAGACCGTGCGTTTTTCTGGGACTAATTTAAGGTGGAGAAGAGTGGTGACAAAAATATTACAAAAATTATAATATTTTTTTGTTAGACATAAATTAAAAAATTAATTTTTTATTAATATATTCAGTTAAAAAAAATTATATAATATTTTCGATCGTACCTATTATCTATCGTTCTTTATTCTTAAATTAGGTGTCCACGTGACAGATGCTGTTTTTCAGAATTTGGCGCACCACTTTTGGTTGCCCCTTCACCAGGGCTTTGCCACCTTGCTTAGCTCTGTTTTGAAAATTGGATCGGACCGATCGGTTCAACTGGAAATCGTTGTTTAGTCTGGTTCAATCTAAATCGATTGAATCGTTATTAGTGAACCGGCCAGAACCGCTGAACCGTTCGAATCAAACCGGCTGAAAACCGGGAAAAACCGAGATTTTTGTTTGTTTTTTTTTTTTAAAAAAAATTAAACCAAACAACGTCGTTTGTTAAACGAGCCAAGTCGAACTCGAGTATTGCTGAGCTCGACTCGAACTTAAAAACTTTAAAAGTAAGCTCAACTCAAACTCACAAGCTAAAAATTATCAAGTTTAACTCAAACTCGAAATATAATATTGAAACTTGAACTCAAAAAGGCTTGAACTGGCTTGAACTCAAAAAAAATTAGAAGCTCGATTGAAGCCTAAAATTCGAGTTTGATTGAAGTGAAATAATAGTTATATAATTATAGTTATATAATTTTGTTATGATTTTTTAACCTCAAATTTATTTTTTAATTATAGTTATATAATTATATTTATTATTTAATATATTTTACCGTAAATATTATGTTGTAGTTAATTTGAATCATTTTGTTTCACTTGATTTTATGGTTTTTAACTTATATATGTTATGATTTGCTTTGAATATGACTTGTGATATAAAAAATTATTTTTTATTAAATATTTTTGGTATTTTTATTTAATTTTTTAAATAATTATGACGTCGTCCGGTTCTTTCGACCGATTCAACCGATTGAATCAATGAACCGATAACACAATCAATTCGCTAACCGATTCGGTTCTGAAAACCATATTGCTTAGTACTTCCACTGCAACATCTCTTCGGTTGCCATCTTGAAAAGAAATATATATGCTTCTTTTTTATGATTCAGGAATATGTTTGGTTCCACTAGTATAAAATTTTAAAATCAAAATATCTATCTAATTTAATATAGGGTAAATTATATGTATAGTATCTAAACTATCAATTTTATTTTGTTTTAGTACTTAAACTTTCAAATTTTTTAAATATATTTAATATTTAATATTTATTTTATTTTAGTACCACCCTTAAAAATTTAACGCAATATATTTTTTTATGAGTAAATTACATCATTAATCTCTCAACTATCTTCTCACTCTTATTTTGGTACTAAAGGTTAAAAATTTTCAATTTAGCTACTCAACTTTCAGATTACTCTTACTTCAATCAATCTAATTAATTTTATTAATAATTTTTTTGACATGATATTTTTATTAGTATTTTATTAATATATAATTAAAAATTAAAATTAAAATTAAAATTAAAAGTTGGAGTGATTAAATTAGGAGTAATTTGAAAGTTAAATAATTAAATAAAAATAAACTTTAGTGACCAAAATAAAAGTGGGAAGATAATTGAGTGACGAATGACGCAACTTACCCCATAAAAAAGGTGCAACTTACAAATCACCCATTAAATTTTTAACGGCGAGACACTAAAACAAATCACCCGAACTCAAAACAACCTGAACCCATCGATTAACAAGCAGTCAGCACATCAAATAATCCCATAATAAATCAACAGTGGGTGCAAGACAGACATCTTCATCTTCGGACAGAGAAACACCAAGGAAGAATGTCATGTTTTAAGCTAATGCATAAAATTCAGTCTTATACTACTTCTACTCTACATTTAAGGCGATATATGCCACACCAAAATATAGCATTAGGAAAGCTAAAGTACTACATAACTAAAATTTTATCTGGTTGGTCTTATAGGAAATAATTCCCTGAGATTCACATCGAGAAATTCAAAGGGGATGATGACGAAGGTCATTTCCAGACAGACTATACAGCCCACAGAAACTCGAATTGTCGATGGCATCGTGCGTTTGCACTTTAAATGCACCGTTGGAAATAGGTTTGCCCCACATACCCACCATACGTAGCCCTTCTCACATTAGATTCATACATCTTTGGAGTATCCCTCAACACCGCAGCGGCGTCGTGGTTGACGGGATCCTCGTAATTTGGTTCCTACACGCAAAATCAAAAGATTTGAGTACCGGATAGAAGCGGATTCATAGAATGATCGCCATAAATTCACTAGGAAAGTACCGTGAAAAGATGATATAATCCGTAGATTACGGTGTTTATATTGAGCAGGGGTTTCCAGTCTTCACGCAAGATGTTGAGGCAAACATTTCCTTCCAAGTCGATATTTGGATGGTAGACCTGAGGATCGGCCAGCAACATGAAATGAGTTCTAACCAAAAGCAAATCAGACGACAGCGTGAATATGGGTAAGGAAGCCGTGACTAAATAAGATGAGCCGGCCCGGTTTACCTTGGTCTTGCATTTAACTTTAGGTGCCTCGTGCGGATAGGTGGGAGAAACTTGGAAGTAGAACAAAAATGTGCCACCACTAAAAATGCAGAGCAACAAGTCGGTGGAACACTTGTTTGTGTTATTAGCAAGAGAAACAACCATAAAACAACTACATAGAACAGAACCTCTTTCCCCTGTAAAGCTAGAGAGCAAAAGATTGCTTGTTTTAAGGTAAGAGGAATGAGAGAAGTTCCTTACCAATAATATCCTTCATCAGGTCGAATCGAAACCTCGAAGTTCATCAGGTCATCATTTCCATTAGGAAAAGATATGGAACAAGATTTCGGCAGGTTCAGCTTGGAAATGTCTGCAAGTAGAAGGCCAAATATAACATGAAGCTCACGTTTAGTAAGTGCTAATTCAATCCTAGATCAAATATAGATCTTAAACCTGGTAAAAATTCAGTGCTTGAACAAACTACAAACAGTTAAATCTCTCTCCTTCATAAAGGTAAATTCAACTTGCAATACATACATACATACATATACGCCTATATATTCATATAAACTTGATCAAATTCACACTAAACAGGATGTGCAAACCTGTGTAAACGCAGCTCCCCTGCAGTTTGCTTTCTGAATTCTGATAGGTGATCCACCATTTGCATTTTCCACAAGCTCTTTTTGCTTTTCCTTTACTTCAAAAAGCCGAATCATAGCTTCTTGGTTCAATCATACTCCATTTTCAACCTAGCTTCTAGATCCAAATCTTTTTTTTTTTGCCCAGACCCTTTCCGTTCAATCCCCTTTTGAATCTGTCATCTTCAACCCCAAAAGCTCAAGGCTTTACATCTCTTCCTTCAATTTCAGCTGTCTTCACCAGAGGAGACACTATCAAGGAAGAAGAGCAGCACCCTCAACCCGAGCTTTGATTTCAAATCTTACATGATTCAAAAGGCCACCACGATAAACCAGACCCTAGACTCAGCTGTTCCACTCCGTGAGCCTATTAAAATCCATGAAGCAATGCGCTACTCACTTTTAGCAGGCGGCAAAAGGGTCCGTCCGGAGCTTTGTTTAGCAGCTTGTCATCTTGTTGGCAGCCAGGAATCCAAGGCATTGCCAGCGGCTTGAGCGGTTGAAATGATTCACACCATGTCTCTGATCCACGATGATCTTCCATGCATGGACAACGATGATCTTCGTAGAGGAAAGCCGACTGATCACAAGGTCTTCGGTGAGGATATCGCTGTCTTAGCCGGGGATGCTCTTTAAGCTTTTGCTTTTGAACATGTAGCTGTTTCTACAGTTAGTGGCTGACCAAGTAGTGGATATAAGTAGCGAGGGACTAACAGATGTGGGGTTGGGTCATTTAGAATACATCCATGTTCACAAGACTGCTGCTTTGCTTGAATCTTCTGTGGTTTTGGGGGCAATTCTTGGAGGTGGATGTGATGAAGATGTGGAGAGGTTGAGGAAATTCGCAAGGTACATTGGTCTTTTGTTTCAGGTTGTGGATGATATCCTTGATGTTACAAATTCATCTAAGGAATTAGGGAAGACTGCAGACAAAGATTTGCTGGCTGATAAAGTGACTTATCCTTAGTTGATCGGAATCGAGAAGTTGAGGAGTGATTCATTGGAGTTGCTTCAAGGATTTGATCCTGAGAAAGCTGCTCCTTTGGTTGCTTTGGCTAATTACATAGCTTACAGGCAAAACTAACCTTTTTTTGTGTGTAACATTTCAGAGAAGAAGGGCCTTAATTTGAAGTTTCTTGTGATGCTTGATCCTAAAGGCTTAGATAAAGAAGCAGGTGACTGGTTTCAACGTTGGAAATATACTTCTACAAGAATGATAATCATAGAATTTTGTTCCTCTCTGCTGTTATATCATATGAAATTCCCCTTAAATTGGGATTTGATTGTTTGTTCTTCCTCATTTGCTTGTTTGTGAAGCTGCTTATGCGGATCCTTTCCCATTTATTTGTATGAACCTATCTGGTTAATGAATACATCTTGATCGATACTCGTTGATGAAGCTTGTAATGCTCCAATGTGGTTGAAGAGCTTTTGAAGTGGTTATTACCTCTTACTGGTATTTTCTGGCTTGTATGAATACGATGATAAAAAAAATCACCACAGGGATAAATAGAAGCAAGAGCATGATCCATCAGTTAAAGGTAAGCCAATGGAGAACAATAAGAAGTTTATGAATCTTGATTGCTTGTTACTTTTGTGCAGTTAGTCTTTGAAAAGTGGAGAATTCAACTGAAGGTGATCATACTTCAGTTAAATGAATAATTTTATCTAAATGTGAGTGACCACAACAGAATAGTACTCAACGGTTAGCAAGATTCTAACTAATAATAATAATAATTAGTTGATCAAAGCATAAATACGAGAATAAGAGGCGACTGAATAGACAGTTTACCTTAAAAATATTTAGATAAATTACGCATTTAGTACCTGAACTATGAGTTTTATTTTATTTTAATACTTAAACTTTTATTTTTTTTTCAAAATTATTTTAGTACACGCCGTTAAAAACTTAACGGACGAGCTTGTCAACCACTGTGTCTATAGTCGTTGGTCGTGGTATCTGTCGGTCGATGAAGCCTAAATTTTTTATCCTGCACCTTTTCAACCCTTAAACGCGACTTCGGCCTCTATTTCATCGGGAAACATTTTAATCTTCTCAAATCGATGATGGACTCTTTAATTTCTTTATCATTCAATCTCCGTCGTCAACCATATGATGGGCTTGCAATTGAACTATGTTGGTCGACCGTCATTCTATCGTGGTCCACTATTTCGTCCTTCCACTAGAGCTATGCCTCGTCAGCCCGTCCTTTAAGTTTTTAAAGACATGTACTAAAATAAAACAAAAACTAAAAGTCGATATGATTTTAAAAATATTAAAAGTTTAGGTATTAAAACTGACTAAAACTAATAGTTTATGTACTAAATACTTAGTTTACCCAAAAAAAACTTATGATGGCTTCGGCGCTTTCCAAATTTTAGTGAAGGCTCAGTCTCCTTGTCGCTTGTCAACTCCTCTAAGCTCCTCATCCCTTCGAATTAAAAAGCAGAAGCTTTTCCATGAAAAAGCTCTCAACTGTGATCTCAATATATGTTGAGAATAAATTATCTCCATGGACTTGCTGCAAGTTTCAGAATTTGGAATCGTCCCATCAGATATTTCCATTCCCTTGATCAAAACAAACACAGAACACCCACCAGACATAAATTTGCCAAAACCTCAAAAAATCCAGTAAAAACATTAGATGTTGAGCCAAAAGTTTACATGCGAGACACGATCTCAAACATTTACAAAATCCTCAGGTATTCAACTTGGGACTCGGCTGAAACCCAACTGAAACAATTACCCCTCAAATGGGACTCTTTTACAGTCAACCAAGTCCTCAAAACCCACCCACCAATGGAAAAAGCTTGGCTCTTTTTCAACTGGGTCGATAAAGTTAGAGGCTTTAAGCATGACCAGTTCACTTACACGACAATGCTCGACATTTTTGGAGAAGCTGGGAGGGTTTCGTCGATGAAGTATTTGTTTCAGCAAATGCAAGAAAAGGGCTTGAAAATTGATGTTGTTACTTATACTTCGAGCTTGTATTGGCTTTCGAAGAGTGGAGATTTTGATGGGGCAATGGAAACATGGGAGGAAATGAGAGGTAAAAGATGTTTCCCTACTGTTGTTTCATATACAGCTTATATGAAAGTTTTGTTTGATAATAAGAGAATCAAGGAAGGTACTGATGTTTATAAGGAGATGCTTCAGTCTGGGATTTCTCCTAATTGTCACACTTATACAGTGTTGATGGAGTATCTTTTTGGGGCTGGTAAGTTAACTAATGACTCGTTTGAGTATTGCAGTCTTTCTGTTTGTCGAAATGTCTAAGTGGGATACACAAATGCACATCTGTTTTGGATTTACATTGTTAGAGTTTATAATTTGTTGCCACTTCATCAACGCTAATGTTCATATGCATTTTTTTTGTTTAATGATGTTCATATACATAGTTATACCACTTTCATGGCATTGTAAGACCGACGAATGCTAATGTTAATTGCTTTGGCTGCATCTAGTGTCTTTGCTCAAGTGTAATGCTTATAAGGAAGTTGTTTATTCTTTTTCTGTGTATCAGGCAAGTATGAAGAAGCCCTTGAAATTTTTAACAAAATGCAAGAAGCCGGAGTTAAGCCCGACAAAGCTGCATGCAATATTTTGGTTGAGAAGTGTTGCAAAGCAGGGGAGACGTGGCCAATAATCCGAATCCTTCAGTACATGAAAGAAAATTTTATCGTCCTCCGGTACCCCATATTTCTAATAGCTCTTGAAACACTCAGAGCTGCTGGTGAGAGTGATGCCCTACTCAGGCAAGTTCATCCTCATATCTGTGTTGAATGTATTAGCAATGAAAGAGTGATTGAGTATAAAGGGAATGATTCCAAAGACCCTTTAAGTTTAGACAGAGAACTAGTTTGGGTTCTTTTGAAAAGGCAAAATCTTCTTGCCATTGATGGTTTACTGGCTGAGTTGTCGGATAAGAATATCCAATTGGACTCAGAAATGATGTCTGCTGTCGTACATGTAAATTGTAATCGTTATAGACCGGATGGGGCTTTATTCGCCTTCAAATTTAGTGTGAAAACAGGCATAGAACTTGAGAGAACGGCCTATCTTGCTTTGATAGGCTGTTTAATAAGATCAAGCATGTTTAATGATATAGTGGACATTGTCACGGAAATGACTAGCGCCGGACATTCTCTTGGAGTTTATCTAGCTTCACTCTTAATCTATCGGCTTGGATGTGCTAGAAGGCCATCTTGTGCTGCAAAGATCTTCGATTTACTGCCGGATGATCAGAAATGTGTTGCCACTTATACTGCTTTGGTTGGCATCTACTTTGCTGCCGGAACTGCAGATAAAGGGCTTAAAATATACAAAACAATGCAAAGGAAAGGGATTCATCCTTCTTTAGGCACATACTGTGTTCTAGTAGCCGGTCTCAAGAAACTTGGTAGAGTCTCAAATGCAGAAACCTTTCAGAAGGAGAAGAAAATCCTGCAGAAAGATGCTTATTTCCGCGAATCCATTCCTATCGAGGAAAAGATATGTGACCTCCTATTTGTAAGGGATGTAGTGTCTTGACAAACTTTCCAGATTTTAGCCTGCGATTCTACATAGCAATCGTAGCACAAATTTAGAGCTATGGTTTGACGGTATGACCCTTTTTGCCACCGATTTTTATCGTGATCGATAACCGGAAATGCATACGTTATTTTATTTGCATACTCATTTTGAAGGAAAGTTGCCAGTTATGGCATAAGGATGATTTGATTGTCGAAGGCTTTGGATCAATGATGTCTAGGAAGTGTTTCCAATGGAGGATTGTCAACAACCTACATGGCAAAGAATGGCTTGAAGTATTTCATTTTGGATGAATAATGTATGCCTAAGATTTGAACATAAATCAAACATAAGATTGATGAATTTATATAGATTTTTTAATCATTCGAGCTATAACTGTTGATTGAATATGCCATGTCATTATTTTTTAATCAGTAAAAAGTAAGCTTCTATAAGATTTGACCTTTTCTCATTGTCCTTTTCCCTTTGTTTTGTCCTCTTTGTTATTTATCAGTTGGCAGCTTCAGCTTGTTCTCTTTGGTAGTTCTATTGTATGGCCGTTTAATATAAAGTTATTTTCGGTAAATGTTAATATTTTTTAATATTTTCGGTAAAGTATTATTTAAAATGTTATTTTTTATTGAAAATATTAATTTTACTATCTAAAATGAATATTTTTAATATTAATAATTCCTGTAGAAAAATAACATTTTAGGTAGCGTCTGATATTAATATTTTCGGTAGAAAAAATTAACATTTTAAGTAACGTTTTACTGAAAATATTAAAAAGATATTAATATTTCTAATAGCGTTTTTTCGTAACTTTATATTAAACTATATTTCTTTAGACATCCCTAATCACAAAAAAGCTTTATACTGAATTTTCATTTTCCTTTTGGTTTTTCGCTACAAAGATACGGAATTGAATGATTATGTCCATAAATAGTTTGGTTCCACAGCACAAGAAACCAGAACCAGATCCAAGGGCTAGACATCTGCCACGTGGAACATGTTGTACGAACTACTGCGTGTAAACAAAAACACTTTGGATTCTGGATATCCCGACCCAACAACCCAAACCAACCAGGCGACAAAATCCAGCAATGTATTCCCAAAGCTTTAATCCAAAGATTCTTTTGAAATTTTTTTATAAATTATTTTGGCTGAAAAAAAGAAGAAGAAAAATGCTTACTTTTGGACTGGCAGATATGGAGATGAAATTGAACTCCAGTTTTGCAGAGTCAGATATAGGGTCTACACAGGCTCGAGCCGCTTTTCAATGGGGTGGCACCATTTTTGCTATGTAAGTTAACCCAGTTCTTGCTTCTTTTTTGTTTCTCTCCTCCTTGAATGGTTCAAAGATGTTGAATTTGGTTCTATGATTGATATAAATGAGTTAGCTTTCTTCAATCCTAGACGATAACGCATTTTGGGTTGCTTTCCGATGTCAGAGATGAATAGTTATGCAGGTTAATCTGTGTAACTGCTGTTGTTTGCTGGATTTTTTAATAGAAAGTTTCAATTACACATTATCATATTTATATTCGACACTCATCTTTGAGTCTGGATAATATAAAGGATCGAAGTACTGTAAATTTTAGTGATAGGCGATCTGTTGATGCCTATTGGGTTCCTCTTCTAGCATAGGATTTCTGTAAATCTGCTGCCTTTTGACGAGTTAAAGGTTTAAAATTCTAACAAGGCTAAGAAAAAAAGGTTGAGTTTTGAAGGCTTTTGGAATGCTGAAATAGTAGGATAGGGTGCATTCACTATGTCCATCTCGACTGGAGAGAACTCGAGAAATGCTTAAATGAACCATAGTCGGAGAACTATAACATAAACAATCATGAAAACAGACTGTATTTACTGCAGAAGAACCTCGGTTCGCCGATACAAAGTCTCACTGCGCTAGGGACTTTCATTGAATCAATCTCGGTATGTCAATCAGAAGCTCAAGAGGAGAGAGTTCTTGCCACGCAGCTATGAGACACCTTGAGAGGGGGACTAGAAATCGAACCCCTTGTTGTTGACCTGTGACAGCCTCAATGCTCTTATGGCAGGGCAGTAGCAAGAACACGATCTCTTGGAAAAGAAAAAAGAAGACTAAACTTATCCCGCAACTGACTACTTTTTGAAAGACCGAACAGGAAATGAAAAGTTGTACTACAACAACTGTGAACATCCCCCCCCCCCCCGCTCTGACTCTGATCGACTTGCCCACACAGCACCTTCTTTGAGAGAAGAGGTCAAGAGGCTATGAGACTCGTACATCCAAAGACGATTCAATCTGTTGACTTCACTCCAAACAATCATGAAAACAGACTCTATTTACTGCAGAAGAACTAACTTCTAAGTACTGCCAGAAAATAGTTGTTAGATCTGTTGCCTTCATCATTTAATTATTGTCAAGCATGCCTCGAACATGCTTAGATAAGAAAGTAGTATGTGATAAAATCCGTATTATTTTCTCTTAGGAAAAGGACTCGAGTAGGGGTCGAACATCATGAGTGCAATATACAAAGACCATATTTGAATGGCATCTCCAATGAAAAATACTGTCTTTGATTTCTGTTTTCCATAAGAAGGCGTTTAGTTCCAATAATGAGCCATTTCCAGGATTGTGTATGAACAAACACCTCAGTCTTGTGTTTAATCTGTTTCCTTGTTCAAGCAGTTTTTTATATTATTTGCTTTCTCCCCAGAATTTTATTACTCATGAACCAAACAGGAAGGAGATCACACTTGCTGACTAACCTCCTAGTGTTATATCTCTTAGCTAGTTTCCCAACTGTACTCTTCAAACTCGTAAGGTACTCGGCAGTATTCAAATATTAGTCTCGTCTCGTTGATTAGTATTGGTTTTAATGTTTTGTAGTTTTTATATTTCATTACAATTTCTCACATAATGATGCAGAGGGCAATTTGGTTGCTGGATTGCATTTCTTGCTGTCGCTTCGAATCTGTTTTTTCCTGAAATCTTTCCAGGTTTGAAACAAGATTTCAGACAAAGTGTTACATCTCGTTTCTGATAATGATTTTCTGTTTGTTGTATATAACAGTTCCGCTTTTCATCCTGTTCGTCATTACACTCGATTGGCTGGCCGATATGTTACGAGATGACAATGTACCTGCCATCCTGTGTCTCGTAATTGCGATTTTAATTACCCAAACCGAAATCTGCAGAGCCAGAGGATTAGAGAATTGTCAATGTAGTTGTTATTGTCTTAGTTATTGGTTTAGTATAGCTTGCTTATTCTTCTTTACAATATTGTATCTTGCCACTTAAAAGGAATTGAAAAGCGTCACAGGGAGAAGATTTTTTTCTGTTTTTACTCTCCTATAGCTCAATGAGAATGAACTTTGACTTTTTCTTCGTTACATATATTTATGGCTGAGCTAAAATCATTCCAAGGATGATGGCGGAGTTGTCTTCTGATCCATCTCAAATCGCTGATATAAACGAGGTTTCCGAGATGGCAACGTTCGGACTTGGTTATAGTTCCGGTCAACTGTTTGTGTTTTGGTGACCATTATCAAACTATCCAAAATCAGCAGCCCAGGAATCAGTCTCAGAGTCCGATTCCTTGAATGAGAATTAAAGTTCCTCTTGTATGTGCTTGTCTAACAAGGAATCAAACAGATGAGTATGGACGAAATCAATGTTGGCTTGCTATGGACAAAATTGTGCGGTTGTTGTCGAAAATTCTGACTTCTTTGGCTGGGATTCGTCGAGCAACATGTCGTGGTCTCAAACATCTGCTGTGAGCTATTGATTTAACTTCTATTTGTTCTGTGTTTGCTTGTTTCATATTTCATAGGCTTCTTTACCCAATCTCTTGCTCCCTCTGTTTCTTGCTTTCTGTAAGATAAATGAGTATGAGTTGTTAATTCAAATCTTCAATGGCTCCATTGCTATCCAATTTGATTGGATAATAATATGGACCATGGATAACTAGAACACGACATATCACGAAAAATAACAAAAGCACAACGCGGATATGCTTATCGTCAAGTATTGTTGATCTATATTCACATGAATAAGACATTGTTCAATACATCATCAAAACTGAAAACCGAGCTGAAACTTTATATTACAAAATAGGATCATACATAGGTTATCATATAAACTGAAGCTATGGATTTTCTGCAACACTTAACGAGCTACGACCGGATCAATGACTTGAGCGAGTTCTGTTTCTATCTCTGAACCCCAGGAGCCTTCCGGTATTTCAAAAGATGACTGAATAAGAACGGAAAGGCTAAAGACGATTTCCACCATACTTGGCCTAGCCAGGGGATCCTCTCGAGTGCAAGCCATGGCCAACACTGCCAAGCTTAGAGCACTATCAATGGGATAAAAGTTCTGCAAGTTTGGGTCCATCCATTTTCTTAGCCTTTTCTCGCTTTTCTCTTCGATTTCCAGAACTTCCCTTACATTCTTCCACATGGAAATCTCACCATTTTCTTTTGTTGCCATTGCTTTCTTACCCGAAAGCAACTCTAACAGCACAACCCCAAATGCAAAAACATCCATTTTCGGCATTATACTATTTGTAACGCTTTCGGCAACTGAGAAATTAGCAATTTTGGCCTTAAACATGGAATCAAGAAGTATATTGCTAGTTCTGATATCCCGGTGAACGATGTTTGGTCGAGTGTGCTCGTGCATGTATTGCAGGCCATTGGCAACATCCAGTGCTACATGTAACCTTTGGCTCCAAGTGAGAACCGCAACACAGCTCGAAGAACATGAACTTTTCGGATGCAACCACTTATCGAGTGATCCATTTTCGGCATATTCATAAACCAAGAAGCAGTTTCCCTCTGAATCAGCTGAGACACCCATTAACTTCACCAGATTTGCATGATTTACTTTCTTCAAAATCTTCAGTTCCTTTGTAATATCCTCCTTTGTTTTCTTTATGGCTAACAGTTTCCCATCAATGGTGGCCCTATACACCGATCCTCCGATTCTTCTATGTTCATTAAGGTTCATGGTTTCCCTCATAATCACATCAGCGTCATACATGATTGGCTTCCCTAGGTAACCTGAAACTCCCTGAAGCAGCTTATCTTGCATGATCTTTGGCCGGAAACTCTCACTTCTTGTAAGATCCTTCACCGGAATCAAATCGGCCTTCTCCAGAGACGAACCATAGCGCTTAAAAATCTTCTTCCTCTCATGTATTACCACACCTGCTAAAATAAGCAAACAGACTACTATGCTTAAAGCAACTATGAGAATTTCCTGGTGTTTAGATTTGCTTCCTCGGTGAGTTTGCGAAAGAACCGGCAAGTCAGACACAGGGATCATCAGTGGAGGAATCACTGCCGAGCTAATATCTGGGTAGCCATTTAAGTTATTTTCATCAATGATAGCTGGTGCTGATGCATTGAACATGTCACTTACACTCCAAATACTGTCTTTCGGTTGCCAGACATAACTAATAAAATACTCGGTTCCATTCTCCGATTCAGCCTTCGAAGGGCACTTGCAGAACAAAGGAAACACGACTTCATCCCCGGGGTGCAAATTCCTGGGCTCTAGAGAAGGATTCATTTGCTCCACTTCAGTGAAATTGGTGAGAGACTCGAAAACAGTGGTCGAAACTGTGTAGTATGTGTCACCAAGCTTGATATCATATGTGATGTTAGCAAAATAATGGTTCATGGTGCAACCACAGGTTATAGGTACCAACAATAGTTGGCCTGGGAACAACCGAGTATCATCAGAAACCATGCTGCTAGCTCTTGCAATCTCTTCAGGGCTGGTTCTGAACAGACTGGCGATGCTTCGAAGCTCCAAAAAGTCCGGTTCTTGAGCAAAAAACGCGGTGTATGTCGAGCATGGGGTCGATGATTCCAAGCACCAAAATTCGGCACCATCGCCGGACGAGGGCTGAGCTCTGATATAGGAAGCAAAGAAGTAGTTGAGTACGAAAAACAGAGCTTGCAAGGATAGCCATTGATGAGAAAGGAAAGAAATCGCCATAGATAACTAACTAGTTATAAGCCAAGCTTATTTATTAGTGTATTAAACTCTAATGTCACTTGGAGTTGATGGAAAAGGTAAAATTTGTTGTTATCAGTGAATATGTAAGTTTTTGATCTGAAAAATAATGCAGAAGATGACAAAACTTATATTACTCTCGCTATATTTTCTGGATTATACATCAACTTGTATTAGGAATCTTTGGATCAGCATCAGATTAGATTAATGTAATAATCCAAACCAGGACGGCACGTAGTTGCAAATAACTGCATTGCTGGAGACTGAAATTGTCGTTCATCATGAACATTTACTGCTTTAGAGACGTCATTTGCATCTTAAATTACAAGCATGATGGTTAAGTATCGTCATGACTGATCCGATTAGCCGGACTATATCATGAGAGTATGATTTGGTTCGTTCATACATATGAAAATACATTAAAAACAGCAGAAGTTATCCAAGTTCTTGCAGAGCCAGTTATATTTCAGCACCGAGTCTTTTTGGCTACAGGCTAGACAAAGTGAAGCACAAGCGACCAGACTGGTAGACTAACAGAACGATAATGCCGATGGTGTTCGATATTTCGTTACTCTGAGTGAAGGAACTCCGGAATCAGACCGATGATCGGATGTGGTTTGTTCGGTCCAGAATTAACAAATAACTGCGCATATCATACAGAATAAGCATTTATAGCAAATTTACCATCCTTATTATCTTTGTACATAACATATATGTGGTTTTATGAAGCTCAGTTCCCACAGAAAAAAAAATGGAGAATTAGGCTAGAAATGAAGCGTAGTCATCCCAAAGATGGGTGATCAAGACATCATGAAGTTTGTTCATTGGGATGAACAAGGTGATATGAGAATGAAACTGCAATGTTGAAAGAATTTCCAATTTTTAAATTGCCTTTGTTTTTCATAGGCTGGATAGGATTTTATCATGTTCTTTTTTTCATTTATTATACTGTTTAAATCATTCTCAACAAGACAAGAGAGTACCACCTTAAGAATCTTCCATCATCATCACCAACATACATGAACTGATAATCATTGAAGCCATTTACAAATCCCATGAATTTCTGGGTTTTTTCTTTCTTCAAGGGCAAGTGAAAGCATCCCCCAGTTCCATCCACTTGTCTTGAGCTTGGACATCGCCGCCAACCAAAGCCTGAAAAGCGCTCCTGACCCTGTTTTTGCACTTGTGGTTGCGGATCCGCCTAAGAACAACCTCTTTCTCCAGCGCTGCACGGGACGACCGTGCTGAGGATCTTATCTGAAGCTGGCTGGTGACAACCTTGTTCGTTTCACCGTGTTCTTCTGCCTTCTTATTCATCTTCTCGTCGGTGACTGAGAAATATGGCTGAGCTTTGGGTGCCAAGAATTCCATTTTTTAAAGGTGAACAACTGAAACAAAGTAACGAGGACCTGAGATTTAGTGAGATATCGAATATGACGGAGAGTTCAAGGAAGCAGAAGTGGCTGCCAGTTATAGACAGACTTAAATTGAGATTCAGTGGGAAGTTTTGACGTTTTTTGGATTTGTTTAATGGATATTGTTTCAGAATTCCATTGATTCACCCCAAACCAGGGGCCACGAGCGGGCTAACTTTATATATATATATATATATATAACGAACGAGTTTTATAATATTTAAGGTTCAAACTGATTGTCTGACACATGGAGAGGATTACCTTTCGACAACGTAATGGGAAAATTCTAAAAGCACTATTTAAAGCTTTCCCTGATGTTGCAGTCGACGACAAGAAATGTTAATTGCTAAGTGGGAAAAACAATGGGCAACTTCACTTGTTTCTTACCAAAACTTGGGGCTTCGTAAATCTCGATGCAAAAGCCTGTCCCTTTCAATCATTTTCTCGGTAAACAAACAGAAAAAAGTAAAGAAACAAACCCAGAATGCTTGTTCATAATAACCCAATTCCTGATCAGTTTGATTACTGTATGATGTTTATATCAAAATAACGGATACGAAAATACACAGTCGTGACAATTCTTCATGTATGGCACTATATGTTGTTTTGGTTGTTCGTATTAAGCCCAAATATATAGACTCTTAGGATGTTTTCAGCTCTGTTAATCAGCTCAAAGACACAAACATCACCCACTGCCAAATGATTTTCAATTGCAAAATCTACCCATCCACTTCTCAGTTTTGCTTGTGCATGTCTTTGTGTCGAGGCATAATACTTTAAAGGTGTACTTGTATCTGACATAATACTTGTGTCGAGGCATTACAACTCTTGTTGAAGAACAGTTGTCGATTCTCACCGCATTAACTTGCCAACAATTTTCTTCAGAGTCTTGTAGCTTGACCTTATGAGGCAATGGTGTTCGATCAAAGAACTTGGCAAATGCAGGTGGAATTCGCTAAAAAAAGAAACAAAATCGAACCCGAACTAATTCAAACTAATCATTATGATGATATGATTTCAGATAACTTGGGGCTAAAGAAACCAAAAAATAAAGTTCTTATTTTTTTCAGATTACATAACAATGTTGGTGTATATAGAAGAGAAATCACAATTGACAGGCATGAACATGTTGAAAATTTGGAGATATGCAATATACCAGCAGCTTAGAGAAGTCGCCGACCAGAACCTTGAAAAAGCCTGGGATGGCTGCCGGCCTTGCTTCTCCCGCCATTGGAGTCGACGACTGTGGGAGAAAACAATTGGGGTTTGTGTAAGGATCGAAGACACAAAACCAAGAGTCTGGGGTTTACAAGTTAAAAAAGAATCTAATTGGTTTGTTATGTAAATCTAATTGTAGGGCTGGTCTTTTAGGCTGGAGTTGAAAAACCCTAGCAATTGTTTCGGAAAATATTTTGATAATTAAATGCCCATTTATTATAATTAGATTAAATTATACCAAATAAATACTACTTCTATATTGATTTGAACTTTCAATTTTTATAACAATAAGCTTTGATTTTAATTTTAATAATTATATTATACGGTGATAACAGAGAAAATAATGTTGTTTTGACAACAAATATTGATATCTAAAATGATATTATTTTAGGCATCAAATTAACAGTTCATTGCTCTAATTGAACTCAAAAGTAAAACTCAATATTTGATTGATGAATCAAACATATTTCTCAGCAACTTGTTGGAGACATTTGCAGACCTCCTGGGGCTTGGAAAACATGGGCATATGATCAGCTCCATCTATGAACTTCACATCCACTGCTGTGCTGTTTTCGATGTACCATTTCTGCAAGCTTTCTTTCATCGGCAAATCATCTTTGCATACTATATAAACCGCATCGATCGAACCGAATTTCTCTTTCGTTAGCAGAGATTCCATACACAAATCTTTCATGAAGAACTTTCCTTGTCTCAGCAACGTTGCGGCCAATTCTATGTCCTATAAGTTCCCAACACAAAAACATAAACCATCTCAGTTTAATCATTAACCCTTATGAAATCGTACCGAATCGAATCGAATAGAACTGACCTCTTTTGGTGAGAGTTGATAAACGTTTGCTGCGATATATTTTGGTCCAGGCAAGGCACGAGTTGGTGGATTTTCGGGTCCATCATCAAACCATAGCTCTGAATCCATTTTCGGCTCCCCCGTAGCCCTTTTGAAGAACTAATTTCCATAATTCGACTCGGAAATTTTAAATCCGAACAAAAAATAACTAAAGCACGACATACGGATAAAGATACATAACATGTTGATCATATTTTTACCTCGGCTACTGCAGTTGCAATAGGGGAATGAAGATTGGGCATCAAGGCTGTGAGATAAACAGCAGCCGACACTTTGGTAGGGAAACTTTCCATGGCTAAGGAAATGATAACCCCACCATAACTATGTCCCACTAATATCACCTTCTCGTGTTGAGGCAAAGAGGCCATGAATTCCATCAATGGCTGCGCATAATCCCACACAGAATCCAGCTCGGTGATCTGCTTCGGGTTGATTCCACTGGCGCCGAGGTCCAACGGCGTGGCACGGTGACCGGCCGATTTGAGCAGCGAGACAACCTTGTACCAGCACCAAGCTCCATTGCACATACCATGAATTAGAACAAAGTGTGCCATAATTCACTGTCCTTGATCTCACTATCTCTACTCCTTTTCTTTGGCTGATCAGTAGCTAGACTTAGTTGCTTGCTCACAAAGTGGCAGCGTTTTTATTGGTGATTATTGGATAAGAAGCTTTGTTTTCTTTGGCTATCCTTGTTCGGTGTGGATATAATTAATGCAGTGCTTGACCGTAAAAGATAAGTTGACTAAATTGACGATTTATGTTTCATCTCTTATGACGTAGACGGTGAGAATAATCAACTCGTGTCGAACACTTGTTTACTTATTCAAATAAAAGGGTCGTACACAATAGAAACCATCTTCTAAAGATGATAGGAAGAGGTAACCAGACGAATCTGGAGTAGTGGACACTTGTTTGTTCATCGATTACAAAGTTGACCGATTGAAACATTCGTGGATGAATCAATTATATCTGGCAGCAACTTCTTGGAGAAATTTGCAGACCTCGTGTGGCTTGGAAAACATGGGCATATGATCTGCACCAGCTATGAATTTCACATCAGCAGTCGGACTATTTTCGATGTACCATTTCTGCAAGCTATGTTTCATCAGCAAATCATCTTCGCAAACTATATAAACCCGATCGACGGATCCGAATTTCTCTTCCGATAGCAAAGATTCATCGGACAAATCTTTGATGAACCACTTCCCTTGTCTCTGCAAGGTTAAGGCTAATTCTATGTCCTATACAAAACATCAAGAGGCATTAGCACACACCAACAAAAAACCACTTTTGATTTAACCATTTGTAAGAAAAAACCGACCTCTTTTGGCGAGAGTTGATAAACCTTTGCCTCGATGAATTTTGGTCCAAATAAGGCACGAGTTGGTGGATTTTCAAACCCATCATCGAAGGTTTGCTGGAAATCCATGATCGGCTCCTCCGATGTCCTTTTCAGGCACTAACTTCCTCCAACATTAAACCAAAGTTAAAACAACTAAAACATGAAAAATATATACAAGATGGTGATGATTTTTTTTTTTTACCTCGGCTACTGCAGTTGCAATAGGAGAACGATGAGTGGGCATAAAAGCTGTGATGTAAACAGCAGCCAGCACTTTGATAGGGAAACTTTCCATGGCTAAAGAAATGGTTACCCCACCAAAGCTATGACCCACTAATATCACCTTCTCCTCTTGAGGCAAAGAAGCCATGAATTCCATCAAAGGCTGCGCATAATCCCACACCGAATCCAGCTCGCTGATCTGCTTCGGGTTGATGCCACTGGAACCCAGATCCAACGGTATGGCACGGTGGCCGGCTGATTTGAGCAGCGAGACAACCTTGTACCAACACCAAGCTCCATGACACATGCCATGGATTAGAACAAAGCGTGCCATTGTATTCGTTTGATTAGTTTGTAGTTGACTCGTTTGTTGCAAGGGCCTTTATTTAACGACAGCCCAAATCTGTTAACATCGTGATTATCAGATGTTAAGGAAAATCAAGTGTGCATTTTGGGACACGAATATATTATCGTGATTATCAGATGTTAAGAAAGATCAAGAGTGTGCATTTTGGGACACAAATATATTATCTGATTGTCCAAAAATTTCTTATCACTAAAATTATAATCTGTATTAAATTTAGAAAATTGAATATTCAAAATTTCAAATCGAATAATCAGATATCCAATCTGAATATAAATTTTAATTTGATAAAAAATTAAAATTTTATAACTTTATATAATATATTTTATAAGCTTAACATAAAAAAATTAAGTTATAAAAATAAAAATATTGAGAATCTTATTTATAAGCTTAACATAAAAAAAATTAAGTTATAAAAATAAAAATATTTAAGCCGGCTGGGGGTGGAGGATGGGGTGGGGTGGGGTGAAGGCTGGAGGATGGAGTGGGGGCTGGAGGATGGGGCGTTGGGGTGGGGCGGGGCGGGGCGGTAGATTGGGGTGTTGCTGAGGTTGGAACTGTCGAGTAAGAATAAAATCATCTAAAAACTAAAAAAAAAAAAATTGACTTTCAGATAATTTAAAATTGAAATTTCAACGATCTATACCTGATTCGATTATTCATTTTTCCTCGAATACCCAATTCGAGTTATCTAAAAATTAAAGAACAAATCAGATATTTAAATCTTTAAATTCAATCAACGAATCAAATTAATTGGATCAATTTTTTTACACAACCCTAGATAAAATGTACCTTTATAAAAAAAATTATTAATTATGATCATTAAGTCTGCCGTACTTTTCAAATAATTAACAACTATAATTTTTATTGGTTTGTTTGGTTATTGATTAAGCATTTATATTTTCCGGATGATTCTTGTGCGCTAGACAAGTTATGATAACCACCATTAATAATGAACACTGATAAATTAAATTATAAAATATTTAACGTATAATTATATTTTAATTAAATTGTTTTTAATATTTTTTAATGATTAGTTTAAATAGTAATTTTTAATTATAAACCCTATTTTTTAAATATGTGATTTTCTCGTCTTCATCGTCAATTTCGTCTTTCTCCTTCGATTGAATCGTTGTTGTTCATCCCTCCCGACGTGGACGTCGTTCACCACCGATTGCGCAACCAACCCATTAAGGTAAGCTAGAATAATTTTATTTTGATTCAAACTTGGTGTTTCTTCCAAGCCGTTACCAGAGGGTGGTGGATGACCAACTGTCAGCGCCTTCACCGGCAGTGGTCGTGGTTGTCGGTGTGAGACTTCACCCTCTCATTTTTTTTTCCCAATCACATATTTTATAAACCCTAACCTTAACCCTAACCCTAATTTTAAAATTTTTCCAATTGTATAACCCAAATTCCTTAATTGATTTCCAAAACTCCCTTCCTAGAGCCCAAATTAGAATAATTTCACCTTAATTTTTACAATGAAACCGGTTTTTTTCAATCCAATTCCTGATTCGCAATTTTCAAACCGTGAAGGGTGTACCGCTAAACTGGCACAATACTTGAGCAGACATGTATCGGTACCGGTAGTGTATCGTACCATAATTCTTTTTTGTTTTTCTGAATTCCTCTTAATTAGTGTATCGATACACTCATGTAGAGTATTGGTACGGTATGCTTGATTCGTTTGGTTCAGCCTTAAATGTAATATCCCAAATAGCAGACCAGAGACTATATCGAAAAGATTTAAAAATTTAAGATTAAATTGAATAAATGGTAAAAGATGAGAAAGATGATTTGGAATAGTGTTTAGACAAATTTGTATTAATAGATAAGTTAAGAGGGCACTTTATTCTTTTAAGACATAAATGAATTTAAAAATAGATTAGGGGTTTTAAATAGGAAGAAAGAGGAAAGTAAGACATTCCTACACTTCTTCTTCTTCTTCTTCTTCAAGTTGATTTACTCTCCTCTCTAACATAAGGTAAATTTCCATTAGCTAGTGTTTCCTTTAAATTATGGGTTGCTTTTGTAACGTTAAGTGATATGTATGCATAAGGAAGGCTTTGATGGGATTAAAATGAGGAGATAAGGGAAATAATGGGGATTTTAGAAAATGGGTTTTGAAATGATATGTTAATATAGGAGTGTTTATTGATGTTTATTGGTAGATTTGACTTGTTAAAGAACTAAATGAGAGATTAGAAACATTGGATGAGTTTAAAAACAAGATATAAATTTTGGTAGCATTATGGGAGGTAATCCTAACAAAATTTGACCTCATTTGTGTAACAATCGGGTTAAAAACTAAAAAATCTAGGTACGAGTATCGGTACTGATAGAACAATACCGATACTATAGGCTAAAATGATATAAATCAGCTGCATAGTATCGATACTGATTCAATCAGTATCGATACCGAAGAGGGAGTATCAATACCAAATGGAATGTATCAATACCATTTTAAAACAAAATGCAAAAATGGTATCAATACCATGGGAAGGTATTGGTACCATAATATGGTAGTATCGACACCATGGTAGGGGTATCGATACCCAGGACCTAGAAATTTTATGAAAGGCTAAGATTGTTGTGGAAAAGTTAATAATAGGTACTTTTGATTAATGGTTAAGTATGATTGTTATGAAATATACTAACAATTGATATTATACATGTATTTAATGAATATGGAATAGATCGAAATCAAACTCCCGAGTCGAGTAAAGCAAAAAGCAAAGGCCAATTTCCGGAGTAATCATTTTTACATTTCAGATATCTAAGCAAGGCAAGTCAGGTGAGTACATTTATTGGATGCAATCTATTTAAAGACAATATGCCATAAGTCTAATTAGAATGTTTAAATTTTAAAGTATGGTTTACATTAAACATTAATTACTAATTTTATTTAATGTAGGGAAAGAATATTATGAATGAGTTTTAAAGTATGAACTACTCTAGAACAAATGAATAAAAGAATAATGCATACGGGTGTATTATTAGCATGAAATGATGTCATAGCTGAAATGCATATGGGTGCATTATTGGCATGAAAGGATGTCATAGCTGAAATGCATATGGGTGCATTATTGGCATGAAAGGATGTCATAGATGAAATGCATATGAGTGCATTATCGACATAAAAGAATAATGCATAAGGGTACATTATTGGCATAAAAGGATGCCATAGCTGAAATGCATATGGGTGCATTATCATCATAAATGTATGCTATACCTGAAATGCATAGTGGTGTATTATAAAAATGAATGGAATATAGTTCAACTGAGAAGGAATATAAAATCCATAAAGAATATACAATTCGATGTGAATTCAATAATATGACGTACTTATCTACACATAAAGGTTACTTTACAATATTATGATTCACTAAGTAATTACTTAACGTGTTTGTTTTCACGCGTAAGTAACAACTGAGAATAATCAAGTAAGGAGTGCAGCCGTAGCAGCAGATATCATCCACTAAGGTTGACTCAACAGTAACATTAGGACAATAGCAATCATTTTGGAAACTTGTTTAACATGTAATTAAATTTAACAAAAATATTTTGTAATATGTTTTAATGAACACTTATTTATTATGTTTATTTATGTGGAATTAAGTTTGTAACAAAATTTTAAAGGCTTTTCGAAATGAGTAAACAATTTTTAAAGTGATGTGACATTTGTATTCGTATACGGGATATAGGTGTTACATTAAACTTTATTTTTTTACGTAGATGATGGATTTAGACTTAACACCCTCAAAAACAAGTTAAGATGACGGAGTGTAAGCGTCATATCGACATGAGTTCGGACAAGACCAAGAACTATGTACTTTCATTATAAATAACTGAATTTTTAATATTTGTGATGCATTTGTTTTGTCGATATATTTTTTTATTTTTTTTAAGATTATTTTTTTATTTTTTATTTATTTTATATACATATAGGAAAAATTGAAATTATCCATCAGGATAAGATTAGAACTTTTCTGAGTTATCACAAGTTCAAGACACTCTTTCAATCGATGCAAAAAATTGAAAAGGAATTTGCTATAATGCATGGCCAATTCGAAAATTTAAGATGACAGTTTGAAATACTAAATGGCCAATTTAGGAAATTAGTGAGCATATTAACACCAAGTAATGTTAAAAGTTCAATAATAGATGGTAATTCAATAAAATGAGAAGGAATGCATAGCCGATCATTAAAGGATGATGTTTTAAATAATATATCAGAAGTGACGAATTTAATATTGTTCCATTGAAAGATGAGAGTTTTAAAAATAAATCAGACATGGAAGAATGAATAAGTGTTGCACCATTATATGATCAAATCGAGAGTAGTATTAAAAAACCAAGTTTATTTTCTTTTATTAATTGGGATTGTGATTATCCTTTTACCTCATTAGAACGTAGTGACAAAAGGAAACTTAATGTTAACTCTAAAAGTAACTGCAAAACTAATAGGGATGGTTTTCTGAAAATTTCGGTCGAAGTTTTCAACTTTCAATTTAGTCCCAATCGATTTCCTAATCAATTAGTTACGTTGAAGAAAACTTCAATGGTTAAAAAAATTGAGCCTAAAATGTCTAACGGTCCTACGGCTTTTTCAAAGATGAATGGGTCACATCGGATAGAGTATCCTTCAACGATATCCGAATTTGTCTATGTTCCAAAAACCATATCCGAATTTGTCGAACAAGTTTCCAAGATCGAAGATGGGTTCCAGGGATCATCCAAGATTAGTGATTTTGTTCGAAGATTGGAAGACGAGATGAAGAAAATCAACTGTTTTAAACGTGAACTTCCCCTTTGCATGCTTCTCTTGAAAGATGGTACTTTTTTTAAAACCTTTTTATACACTTTTTAAATCACTTTTTCCTTTTTTTTGTTGGATTTAATTTGATTTTTGTTGGGGTTTTAGGGATTGAGAGGTTGAAGGTTGAAGAAAATCAGCGTAAAGGAAT